CTTTTGCCCAGTCTTCAGTGACTTTATTTTCTTCCCATACGTCTTTGAAGAGACCATTTAGTATGACTGTTGCTGTGTTGATATCAGCTTTCAGTAGTTCAGCTTGAAGTCCGGCTATGCCTGCTGCCTTTCCTGATTTCATGGATTTAATTGCCTTTGTTATTTCTTCTCTAGATGGTGGGTCAGTGCATATATCTAGACCTTCAAGTTGGGGTGCTCCCTGAAATTCATTTATTGGCTCTGGTCTATTCAAAACAGCCTTGAAGTGTTCTACCCAATGTGCAGCCTGTTCCTTTTCAGTTGTAATGATGTTTCCTTTTTTGTCTTTAACTGGAGGTGGTTGTTTGGATTGTCCACATAGTTCTTTTGTGATCTTGTAGACTGTACTTATATCACCTCTTGCGGCAGCTTTCTCTGCTTCTTCAGCTCGTTCTTCCAAATGGTTCCTTTTATCTTTTCTAGCTCTTTTCTTTACCTCATTATCTTTCTCTGCATATTCTTTCTGTGTTCTTTTGACCTTTTCTTTGAGTTTTGCTCTTGAGTCATTGATTGCTTTCCATGTATCTGATGTTAACCATTGTTTATTGCTGCTCTTACGGAAGCCAATGATCTTTTCACCTGTCTTTAGATACACCTCTTTGATGTTTTCCCATTTCTTTTCTATGGAACTGTCTTCAGTTTGATCAAGATCCTCTAATACTTTAAATCTGTTCCTGAGTTTAATGACAAACTTTTGTTTGATTTCAGGTTCTTTCAGACGGTTGACATTGATGATCTTTCTCCCAGGTTTGTTATTGTCTGGTACCTTTTTCAGCTTCAGTTGGAGTTTAGCTATAACTAAATGATGGTCGCTGTTCACATCTGCTCCTCTAAATGCTCGGGTATCGATTAATGATCGTCTCCATTTGCCATTTATGATAATATGATCAATCTGATTGGGTCTCACTAATTAGCGACAAGAAGCGTCAAGAAGCGATAAGAAGCGTCAAGAAGCGGCAAGAAGCGACAAGAAGAAACAAATTAGCGACAAGAAGAATAATTTAGCGACAAGAAGTATAATTTAATTACAAGAAAACTTATTTAGCGTAAAAAAATTAAATATCAATTATTCTAAATAAATAAATTTTGAAGCATAGTATAATTGTCTTTTTTTTAATATACGAGAAACAAGAGAATAAACTTTGGTTTTTTTTTCATTATCAAGGATATGCTTAAGATAATGTACCTTCAGTTTACAGAATAGTGTATAGATGAATGAATCAATATTCATGTAGAGTCGGCATGGTTGGTGTATTGTATCTAACTTAAAGATTCAAACCAAATTTTTTATTTCAGACTCAAAAGGGCAATACATATATATAAATACATGACACAAATTTTTCTGTCTTAACAGGATAAAAGGTTCAAATATTTACATTATTAATAAAAAAAGCAACAAAATGTATACATGAATGTTTGGAAAAAAAGGGGGGTAATTTTTAATTTTTTTTAAAAATTTTAAATTTTCTCTATATTTTATGGATCCTTAATAAAATCAGATAACTTATTTCCTATAATCTATTGTTTTAATAGTAAATAAACTTTCTTGTCGCTAATTTGTTTCTTCTTGTCGCTAATATTTTTCTTCTTGTTGCTTCTTGACGCTTTTTGTCGCTTCTTGTCGCTAAAATTCTTCTTGTCGCTAATTAGTGAGACCTATCTGATTTTTATCCCTGTTGTTTGGAGAATTCCAGGTAATTTTGTGTATATCTTTATGGTTAAATAGGGTTCCTCCAATTACTAATCCATTATTTGAACACATATTTGCCAGTCTCTCTCCATTCTCATTCATTACGCCATGACCTTCTTTTCCCATCGCTCTTTCATTTTCTGTATTTACTTTCCCAACCTTTGCATCTTGGTCTCCTATAATAAGAAGAACATTATGTTGTGGTATTTTGCTAATCTGAGCCTGAAGAGCTTCATAATAAGCATCTTTAATTTCTTCTTCCGCATCGTTTGTAGGCGAGTAGCACTGAATAATTGTTGTCTTGGCATAGCTGGAATTAAAGCAAGCTCTGATCAATCGCTCGTTTATATGTTCCCATTCTATCAAGCTCTTTGTACATTCCTTATTCATAATGATTGCCACTCCTTCTGTATGTTGGTTGTCATTTCTGCCGGGGTATATGATGGTATGACCCTGTGTGATAATTTTTTCTAACTCTGTCCACCTGCATTCACTGATACCTAATATTCCTAGTCTGTACCTTCCCATCTCTCTTATGACTTGTGTAGTTTTTGAGACCTGGAACATAGTTCTCACATTCCATGCGACAATCTTAATGGTCTTTTTTGGATCCATGAGATTCCAGTTCCTGTCCCAGGCCTCCTGGGTTGGGCTTTCTCCTTGTACAATCATATTGCTGCCTGTGCAGCCCGTCATCCCATTAACTACAAAGATTCATGAGTGGTTTCAGAGGAGTTGCAATGACAAACTGTTGCAATAAATTTCTAAGTTCAAAGAGGCATAACTCCTAGAAACAAAAATTAAATCATAATTTCCTGTCGATATGCACATCTACATAGTATGTCCTTATTATTTACAAAGTTTCATGAAATTCTGTAGTGTGGTTTCAATGAAGAAGAGTTGCAATGATAAGAACAGGACTGATGGACTAAGGAATAGACAAGACAGGTCAAAAACATTATACCCTACACATCTTTGTTGCATGGGGTATAATAACAGAGGCCTTTTGCTTCTTCATCTGAATTTGAACACAACTAAATTCTAGATAATTTTTCTTTCCTTATTAAAATTCTGTAAAAAATCTGTCTTGGGCATTGTAAAAATTAGTTTTTTTAAAGTTCTTTCTTATGCTGTATGAAATCCAAACAGAAGTACTGCAGCCAATATATCAAGAGTATGTAAGGATGCATAGTTGTTATATGGTTACTGTGAGCAACAAATACCTATTTTCAAGTCTTGGTTTGACTAATCGAGGGTTCAAAACCATGACCTCCTTGCACTCGTGACAAGCACACTACCACTAGACCATCAAGGCAGTTTAGGTATCTTTTAGAAATCAAAACAAATACAGTGTTTTGTCCTATGTTATAAAGATTCTATGAATATTAATGAACTTATTCTTATCTAAATCTATTATAATGATTCTATGAATATTAATGAACTTATTCTTATCTAAATCTGTCATAATGATTCTATGAATATTAATGAACTTATTCTTATCTAAATCTATCATAATGATTCTATGAATATTAATGAACTTATTCTTATCTAAATTTATTCTCTACATCTTTTTTCTTTCAATGATTCAGATAAAAAAGGGGGACATCTGATTCAATTTTTTTAAACCCCACCAAATGCTTATGCACACATTAAATGACAGGAGCCTAGAATGTTTTCCTGTTTTATGTTTTAATGTTTTTGTCCTATTTAGGAAATAGACGTAAATAACATATCTTTTTGTAGTTTCTGTTATTTTTTAAAAGAGGTTCTATGGGAAAACCAGGCAAAATTGAAAAATATCAATTCTTTGTGTGTTCTTAAATGTCATTATTCCAATAAAATTCAAAAATATGGGCAAAATTGAGCAAAAAAAAAATGCTGTGATAAATTATATATCTTATTCTAATAAAAAATATTAGGGGTACCTTGAAATCAGTTAAAAAGGTCATAAAGAAATCCTAAAAAAATCATGAAATTTCAAGATTTCCATAGTTCAAATTTGTACCAAACACAGTGGAATACATAAAATGAAAATATTCAGCATTCTGAATTGAGGATTTATATGTTTAAAAAACATTGCCTATAGAAATTATAAAAAGCATTGTTTCCATAGCAACTTGTCTTGACATGGGATGATTTATTGTTTGATAAAGGGTCAAGTTGAAGACCATATGTTGACCTCTTTACTTCTTGAAGTCTTTCTGTTTTTATTGTCTTGTTGGGTTGTTCTCTCTCATTAATGTATATACTCCCCATCTTTTTGTTATTCATATTTAATAATTCAAACTAATTTGTACTTGTGAAATTCTTGTATTAATAAAGTACATGTATATATAGGAAATATAGTTAAATGCAACAAGTTTCGTGTAAATAATAAAAAAAATTATATATCAATTATAAATCAACTGGATTAGCACCTAAATTAACAGAAATATGATATGCATGATGATTAGTAATAAATTATTTAATTCAAGGTTAAAATAAGGTTACTACAAAATGCTTAATATTCCTCCTCACAAAAATATATAACTCTGGATTCATTGTTATTTTTGGAAATCAATTCTTGTGGATTTTGTAGCTATTGGTGATCCAGAAATTTAAAAGTTCAACGAAGTACAAATTTTCTATAGGCTTGTATTAATGTCTTTTGCAAAACCACAAAATCAAATATCCACAAAATACAATGTTTCATCAATCCACAAAAATTGGTACTCCCGAAAATAATTGAATCCTCAGTATAAACTAGTTACTAGTAAACTAGATATAAGAAATAATATGTGAAAAACATTCTTTTATTACTAAAACCAAATGATGTCAATAATTTAAAACAATTGCTCTCCTCTGAAGTGCCAATTTTGAAATTCAGTGCAGAACAGTTTAAACTACACCCTTCTTGTAATATGAGATATATTCTGTCAAATATTTTATATAGTTATACTCTTTATTCAGAGTAATACTGCTCATAGTATTGGTAATCTTCTTCAGAAATATTAAATATATACCAGTAATTAGTTTTGATCTAAACAAAAAGTGACAATATCAATTCTTAAAAACATTTATCTCTATGTATGCATTTTGGCATTTCCAAGCAACATTAAAAAAGTATTAACTAAGTTCAAATGGGGGAAGTCCATAAAATCTGACAAAATTAAATGCCTGAATATATCAACCAACAGAACGAATGGAAAACAACTGTCATATTCTAAATTCTAGATGATTATCAGTTGTTTTTTTTTATAAGATCTTATTACACAAATTTCCTTTACCGATATTTTGTATAAACTTTTTTTTTTAAAGAAAAACACAACTGTTCATTAAAATCATAAATACCACAAAATTATAAGTAAAAATGCATATAAAAAATAATTCTTTGCTCTTTTTTAATATTTGATGTAGTTTTCACTAAAACTTTACAATACTCTCAAATAAATATCATTTTTGGTTTTTTGTTTTGTTTGGTGGATTTCTCATTGACATATCCATCAAATCTATTTTTATTAGTATGAAGAATATAAGATTAATTTTCACTTTCAAACTATGTGACAACCTATAGATCAAACATTAAAGTTTAGATCAATCGTCAAAGGACATTTTAGTCAATTGGTAGGAGAATTGAGCCAAAAAACCACCTAGCACAAAGTAAAACCCTTTTTAGTGCAAGATTTTTAATCATTTCAGTAAAATCTAAACCTGTCAAAGTCCATTTTAGTGAAAGAAAACCATTCCATGTTTTTCTTGATTTACAATATCTGATAGTAGAATGACAAGTTATTAATTTCAAAACAGCACAACATTAAAATGTCTTATTCAATAAACACTACTTAAGTAGTCTAAATACTTTATATAATAAAATTAATGATGTCTTCTAAGTCATCTATTTCTTATCTCAATAAATAATACAGAGTGCACACGCTGAAAAGTGTCTTGCCTGCTTTACTGACCATTGATCTTATGTTGAAAGTCCTAAAGATAAACGTTTTACTACAAGAATCAAATAAACTTAACATTTTTAAAGATCTATGACAATGAGGTTATGGTCAGATAATTCCTGTCAAACGGACATGTACACTTTACAATCATTTCATACACCAAATATAGTTGACCTATTGCTTATAGTACTTGAAAATCAGACCAAAACACAAAAACTTGACCAATGAACCATGAAAATGACGTCAAGGTCAGATGAAACCTACCAGTCAGACATGTACCCCTTACAATGATTTCCTAAATCACATTTAGATGACCTACTTCTTATAGTATCTGAGAAACGGACCTTATCACATGACTTTAACCTTGATCAGTGATCCATGAAATGAGGTCGAGGTCAGGTGAACCCTGTCTAACGGACATGAAGACGTTGCAAGGAACCCATATACCAAATATAGTTATCCTCTCACTCATTATAAGTGAGAAATTTACATGACAAAAAAGTCTTAATTTGTTTTCAAGCAGTTGCTGAACCATGAAAATGAGGTAAAGGACAATGGACATATGACAGACGGAAACTTTGTAACATAAGGTATCTGCATACAAAGTATAAAGCATCCAGTTCTTCTACCTTCTGGAATTTAAAGCTTTATACAAATAATTTACACTGCTGCCAGCGCCGGATAGTAATCCCTGTTCATCGCAGCCGAGACAAAAAATGTTCTAATGTTTGTATTCCAGTGATTGCACATAATAGGATCTAAATATGTTCTTTCTGAAATATTGACCATATAATTAAAGTAAGAACTGGTCCTTCTCTTTTTATCATGTTGGATTTCTTGGTCTTTTGATGTTTTGTCGATCCATCACATATTGCACTATCCTTTCTTTGATTTGCTTCAACCACATTTTAATTTCATGGTAAACCCCACCAATTTAGGAATTGTTGTTAAATTTTCTCTAAAATGGGCTATTGAAAATATAAATGAATGTATTAATTTGGAGCTAAAACTAGCTGTAATGTTGGCACTCAAAATGTTCACTAGCAGTTATGAATTTTTTGCTAAAATGTCCTCTGCCTCTTTAGATACACGGCATATTGCACAATTATTTGAATGTTACATAAAATCATAAAATGCATTATACAATATTGTAAACTCTTTGTACATGTGTAAAAATGTTCACAACAAAGGCTGACTACAATAAAATAAATAAAACAATTGGGAAATATTTTGAGTAAATACTCATTTATATTACAACCAATATGGTAAAATGTTCTTGTAAAAATAACAATATGAATTAAATAAACTAATGTATATCATGTATATTGTACTACCATCAACTATCAATGATTGAAGCCCATATAACATCAAAGCAGATCTACTAAATGCAAAAAATAAGCCAGCAGAATGCATTTTTACATAAAATAACGTTAAAACAGATGATAAATATGACTTTGGGAAATGCCTAATTATCAGCAATTAGTGTTAAAGCTACCCATCCTTATAAATAAATGACAAGTCAAAATTATACAGAAAAGTGATACAAATCAACATTGCATGAAATATCCCTTTGTTACTATATTTGGTAGATAAAGACAGCAAGAAATATTCTAGCTGCTGTATAAATGTATGCATAAAGAGTTATTTTTCAGTTTAGATTTTTCTGATATATGGGAGATAATCCAAAAGGAATCAAGTTCCATTGTCTTTACAAAAGCATTATATGAATGCCTTATAGATATGGCACGTAATAAAAGTATGACTAATCGGAAAAAAATGGGCTGCAATTTTCTAAATGTATTAATTATTACATATCCTTCAGTTTTCATGTTTCTGTAAAGTAGCTCACATAATATTCAGAATAAAGTCTGCACAAAAGTTGCAGAATTTTTAAAGGTAACAGAATTGTAATGATCCTGATTTTTCAAGGTCTATCTCTTTAAAAATCATCTTTTTGCTGAAATCCTCAACCATTATTCATTATGGCCACACCAAATGCACATTATTATTTATAAAAAGCATGTATTACTGTCTTTTTTACATGAAGTCTGTAATTTTTAACACTGTTAAAAAGTCATATAAAGAATAAAAAGTTCATTTATTCTGAATGTCTGGAAAGTTTAACATCATTTACCAGGACAAACTCTCTTAAAAATTTATTTCTAGAAACTGAAGCAGAAAAATTATTTAGCAACAAAGTTTTTGTTTATTTTAAAGGTAAAGGAAACTTTTGTTGCAGTTTAAAAAACTTATTTTTAAAGACAGGTCATTTTCAGGTTAATACAAATACATGTAGCAGCCAATCAGCAAGGATAGAATCAAATCTAAAATATCAGCATTAAATAAGACTGTATAATCACACAGAATCGGTTTTAAATATTTGTGTTAATTTTGGTGGCCTGTGCTCTTCAATTCGGCGTAAGCCAAGACCGTCTCTGTCAGCATCAACAATTTCTCTCTGTCTCTGTCGAATAAGTCGTCTCTGCCACTGAGTGGCTAGGACAATGGCACTGGTGGCATCACTGTTACTTGAATCCTCAGGAGCCTTTAAACCCTAAAATAAAAGACTTAGTATGAAGTTACAGTGGCTTCATTTATTTTTGTGGATACCAATTTTTGTGGATTGAGGAAAAAATGTATATTAGAAAATATCTGGCTTCATGGCTTTGCCAAAGTTTTCATACAAGTTTATAGAAAATTTGTTCTTCTTTGAACATTCAAATCCATGTTTCAACTACATGTATACCCATGAAATCAATGAAAATTGGTCCTGTAATTTCAGAAATTATTGCGAGGTTTTTATTATTGCATATAATGCTACTGGGTGAGTATCACAATAATAAGAACTTGCATTCTGATATCTGATACATATATCTGTATGCATATTTTCCAGAAATCGCAATAACTAATCTCGCATTTATGTCCATTCTTAAATAATCGCCATAATTAATGCATGCAATAATTTCTGAATTTACAGTATCCAAGGAATAATAATGATTCCACAGTAACTTGTAAGTCTATATAAAAAAGTTTGTGAGGTAAACATTTCTATTTAAAAACTTGAACCAGTACACTAAAGTGCACTTATTAAAATGAGAAAACATAAAGTTTTAAATTGCTTGAATTCTCTATGTTTACTGGTGTCTTTTGTATCAATCTTATTAAAATAAAATATTAAGTTTGGTGGCAGCAAATTAAGATTGTATTTTAATAATATTGCTTTTGTACCTGATTTTTAATATATGACAATCTTTATACAAATTTCAGGATATAATTTGCCTCCTATGACGTGACTGTGCTAATTGATTTTTTCATATGTACTTTCATTTATGTTTTATTCAATAAACATTATACAGATTTACGTTAAACATAATGCAGTTGTAACACAAGTTTCAAAACTTTTACAGCTCAAATCTTCTTATATCAAAGGCATAATACAAATAAATCAATGATTAAACAGTTTGTACTTATTTAATCATAGGCAAATCATTAAATGGCACTTTGAGGTAATATTTTCTATCATGGTAATGTGATCTCACATGTAAAGGAATTTGATTGATATCTCATTTTTTTTTCAACAACACTTTTTGAATACATGAAAACAATAAGTTTTCATAACATTTTTTGTCAGATATGGACAAAAAGAGATTTGGAATATACATCAATGAAACAGCAACCCAACAACACAAAAACAGACATGTGTCTATGGTATATAAGTATATATATATTTTTATATATACCAGTGACTACATTGTTTTCACTTTGTTTCTTAAAACTAAATCCTCTTCGTCTTTCATTTTCTATGCCAGTAAATTAAAACAAAACATTGCTGTTTTTCTCAAAAGAGAAAATTTAGTGAATTTGATTGTTTTTAATTCAATTTCTGTGTGGCAGTCAAGAAAAGTCTAGTGACAGAAGAAAAGGCAACTACATCCATGATACCAGTTAATGTAAATTCCAAATACCACTGATGAGGTTCCTGACTTGGAACAGGTTCACTAACATGTGGCAGGGTTAAACCATTTTTAAAAGCACTTAACCTTTCATCTTTTAAGTTATCCATTCATTAATACATTAAGTGTTTACATCATACATACTTTTACACATACAGCCTCTGCTGCTTTCATGGTCTGCAAAACTATCTTCATCAAATTTTCTGCATTCTCTGTCAAAATTTTAGTCACCTAAAATGAAAGAAAAATCTTATGTTTCAATAATTAGGACTATATTTTTATGAGAGAAATTTTAACTTGTCCATAACATAAAACATAAGTTACAGTTTTACTCCTATAAAAACTGTAAGAACATTGAACATCTAAGGATTGAATTAGTTCGCATTATACATACTAAAAAAATGTGTTTAGACGTAATAATGTCTGTTGGTAATTTGTATTCTTTAAAAACAACTTTTATTAAAGGATGAGACCAATGTTTTGAGAAATAAAACTGCTTAAACAAAAATATGTGTCTTTCTGTTTTAAAGCATTTTGATGCAGCTTAAAATTGGGAAAATTGATTGATTGATTGGTGTTTAATACCCCTTTTAGCACTATTGTGCTAATTTCGTGGCTGTCAGTTTTTATTGGTGGGGGAAGCCGGAGTGCCTTGAGAGAACCAACGACCTTCAGTAGGAAAACTAACAATCCTAGTCAATTAAGATTGGAGTCTAGTGCACCTGGCACATGCAGGATTCGAACTCAACTCACCACCTCAGTTTTGACAGGCTAGTGATACAGAAGTTTGACTTCTTAAACCACTCGTCCTCTGAGGCTCCAAAATTGGGCAAACACAAGAATACATAATGAAAAAACATATAAAAGTCCACATGATAAGCAATATGAATGTTACTAAAGCCTGGGTTGAAATCAAGTGCTCTGAAATGGTAGATAGATACCATAACATTATTTGCATATTTGTGAGATTTGATCAACTTCTAAAGCAACAAATGTAATTTCTTCAAATTCAATGATGGAAAGGAGTCAAACCTAACATTTTTTAAAATGAATATTCAGCTTAAATGCAACACCATCCCAAATATATATCAAACTTTCACAACATTATTGCAGTTTAAAAAATTCTGATTTTTAGGGCCAAAATTATGAGTTAGTGAACCAACTCCTTTCACACTTTAACAATGACATAAATTCAGACAATGAATCACAACTTGAAAGCATGAAACCAAAACTATGCTTGCAACTAATATGTATATTTGCTTTTTTACCAGCATGCTCAATAGCAATATCTATAAACCAAAATTCTCGGTGTACATACCTAATTAGAAGTACCTAACATTTGTAAAAAGTAAAATTTCTAGTTAATGAAAAAATTCTGAAAGGTATCTGCTTGTATGATATATAGATGTATGGATATTAACGCACTAGCATGTCTATCATTAGCACTTATTCAAAAGTGGATCATGTCTATCATAAGCATATATTCAAAAGTGGATCATGTCAATCATTAACACTTATTCAAAACCGGATCATGTATATCATTAGCATATATTCAAAAGTGCATCATGTCTATTATTAACACTTATTCAAAAGTGGATCATGTCTATCAATAACACTTATTCAAAACTAGATCATGTATTTCATTATCATATATTCAAAAGTGCATCATGTCTATCATTAGCACTTATACAAAAAACATAATGTCTATTATTAACACTTATTCAAAAGTGGATCATGTCTATTATTAGCAGTTATTCAAAAGTGGATCATGTGTATCATTAACACTTATTCAAAAGTGGATCATGTCTATCATTAGCATATATTCAAAAGTGGATCATGTCTATCATTAGAATATATTCAAAAGTGGATCATGTCTATCATTAACACTTAATCAAAACCGGATCATGTATATCATTAGCATATATTCAAAAGTGCATCATGTCTATTATTAACAATTATTCAAAAGTGGATCATGTCTATCATTAACACTTATTCAAAACAGGATCATGTATATCATTAGCATATATTCAAAAGTGCATCATGTCTATTTTTAACACTTATTAAAAAATGGATTATGTCTATCATTAACACTTATTCAAAACTGGATCATGTATATCATTAGCATATATTCAGAACTGGTATCATGTCTATCATTAGCACTTATACAAAAAACATCATGTCTATATTTTTTACACTTATTCAAAAGTGGATCATGTCTATTATTAGCACTTATTCAAAGGTGGATCATGTCAATCATTAACACTTATTCAAAAGTGAATCATGTTTTTCATTAACAATAATTCAAAACTGGACAATGTCTATCATTAACACTTATTCAAAACCGGATCATGTATATCACTAGCATATATTCAAAAGTGGATCATGTCTATCATTAACACTTATACAGAAAACATCATGTCTATCATTAACACTTATTCAAAAGTGGATTATGTCTATCATTAACATTTATCTAAAATTGGATCATATCTATCATTAACACTTATTAAAATGTGAATCATGTCTATCATTAACACTTATTTAAAAGTGAATTATGTTTTTCATTAACATTTATTCAAAAGTGGACAATGTCTTTCATTAACACTTATTCAAAACCGGATCATGTATATCATTAGCATATTTTCAAAAGTGGATCATGTCTATCATTAACACTAATACAGAAAACATCATGTCTATCATTAACACTTATTCAAAAGTGGATCATGTGTATTATTCAAAAGGGGTTCATGTCAATCATAAACACTTATTCAAAAGTGGATTATGTCAATCATTAACATTTATCTAAAATTGGATCATATCTATCATTAACACTTATTTAAATGCAAATCATGTCTATCAATTAACACTTATTCAAAAGTGGATCATGTCTATCATTAGCATGTATTCAAAAAGCATCCTGCTTATCATTAACTCTTATTCAAAAGTGAATCATGTCTATCATTAACATTTATTCAAAGGTGGATCATGTCTATCATTAGCACATATTCAAAAGTGAATCATGTCTATCATTAGCACTTATACAAAAAACATCATGTCTATTATTAACACTTATTCAAATGTGGATCATGTCTATTATTAGCAGTTATTCAAAAGTGGATTATGTATATCATTAGCATATATTCAAAAGTGGATCATGTCTATCATAAGAATATATTCAAAAGTGGATCATGTCTATCATTAACACTTATTCAAAACCGGATCATGTATATCATTAGCATATATTCAAAAGTGCATCATGTCTATTATTAACAATTATTCAAAAGTGGATCATGTCTATCATTAACACTTATTCAAAACCGGATCATGTATATCATTAGCATATATTCAAAAGTGCATCATGTCTATTTTTAACACTTATTCAAAAGTGGATTATGTCTATCATTAACACTTATTCAAAACTGGATCATGTATATCATTAGCATATATTCAAAAGTGGTATCATGTCTATCATTAGCACTTATACAAAAAAAACATCATGTCTATTTTTTTTACACTTATTCAAAAGTGGATCATGTCTATTATTAGCACTTATTCAAAGGTGGATCATGTCAATCATTAACACTTATTCAAAAGTGAATCATGTTTTTCATTGACAATTATTCAAAACTGGACAATGTCTATCATTAACACTTATTCAAAACCGGATCATGTATATCACTAGCATATTTTCAAAAGTGGATCATGTCTATTATTAACACTTATACAGAAAACATCATGTTAATCATTAACAATTATTCAAAAGTGGATCATGTCTATCATTAACACTTATTCAAAAGTGAATCATGTTTTTTATTTACATTTATTCAAAAGTGGACAATGTCTTTCATTAACACTTATTCAAAACCGGATCATATATATCACTAGCATATATTCAAAAGTGGATCATGTCTATCATTAACACTTATACAGAAAATATCATGTCTATCATTAACACTTATTCAAAAGTGGATTATGTCTATCATTAACATTTATCTAAAATTGGATCATATCTATCATTAACACTTATTAAAATGTGAATCATGTCTATCATTAACACTTATTTAAAAGTGAATTATGTTTTTCATTAACATTTATTCAAAAGTGGACAATGTCTTTCATTAACACTTATTCAAAACCGGATCATGTATATCATTAGCATATATTCAAAAGTGAATCATGTCAATCATTAGCACTTATTCAAAAGTGGATCATGTCTATTATAAACACTTATTCAAAATATGATCATATCAATCATTAATTCTAGAATCTGGTTTTGATGTTGAACTATTTCCAATCCCATTGTATGCTTATTATGTCTATGTACTTTCTTTCAAAAATCCATATTGCATGAAGGAGAGAATGAATCAATTAATCAGGACTAGAAATCTCAAGATAAGCTTGAAAAAAATGAAAAAAGACATAGCTTAAATGTCAATGAGACAGGATCACATTTACACAAAATACCCTAAAAAAACATCTATAGGTTAACATTAGGGTACTGTTTGTATTTTACCTGCACATTTAATTGGTATTAGAGTGTTAATCATAATGTGTATCTACATTTTATATATAGAAATACTAAATAGGTGCACAAAAGCACTGCAAACAGTGATACAGCAAATCTCAAAATGTGATCAAATAGACAGTAATAATCTAGCACTGTAATTCTAAACTCTGTCGCAAAACTCACATCTAATAAAGGACAAAAGCATTTATTCAAAACTTTCTGGCTTTGTCCACTTACATTCTAAAACTTTAGATTTGAATAGGATATCTAAAGCAAATTTAGACTTGCACAAAAATAGAAAAAATCCTTAAAAACAAGAAGATTTTCACACATTTCTACCTTTTGCTTGTACACAATAATCACTTCCTCATCTGATGGAATCTATAAAATTTTATGATATTAGTTTTTTTATTACTATAACATTAAGTTCAATTATCAACATATATTTCAAGCTGCTTTTGAATGAAATATGATAAAAAAAGTTTGACAGCAACACAACAGCATACAGTTAAAAATTTAAACTCCAGATGTTACAACAAGGTAATAAACTGGGAGCACTACTTGTACCATACAACAAGCCTTAAATCACCATTAGTATATATGTATACTAAATTCCAGTAGCATAGAGTAAACAGGTCAAATATTCTAAATTTAGACACTCATTTTCACACTTAATGATTATTCAAACATATCTGAATTACAAACCCTATTAAGCTATCACTTTAATTTCAATCTTTAATGTCGCAATTGAATTTGTGTTTTTTTCCACTCAACCAATCCACAGAATCAAGTTTTGTACCAAAATTTTATCAAAGCCAAAACATTAAAAAAATAGCAATGAATACTTGATTTTTTACAAGAAATCATCTGAAAGAAAGCTAAAAATTTTGCAATCCTGTCTCTTAAAATCCATAACAAACAACCCTTCTTCAATATATACATACATCACCATCTCCTGATGAACCTTGATGGACATTGGCTATGATACTCAGCTGTGTACTGACTGTTGGTATTTGGTTGGCATAAAAAATCAAATCCCTAGCAAACCTAGAATAAATTAATAAAAGAGTATTTTAAAAGTTGGTTGTTTTTTCCAAATACATCAAGTCAACTGACTTTTACTGAAAAAACACATGCAGCTTTATGGAGGCATTCTATTCAACTGTCTCACTATTTGAAAACTGACACCATAATCTGCCACCGTTTAACAAAGTGATAATAACTATAAAAGATTTTAAGTTAATTTTCTATATGCAGACTTTGGCAAAACCACAAAATCAAATTTTCAAGAAAACTGCACATTTTCCTCTATCTACAAAAATTGGTTGCCAAGAAAATAAATTATCAGTAAATATTTTAGTCACTCCAAAAGGGTTGTATGATGTGGAAAAATATGAATCAAAAACTCATTATTTGAAAGCAGAACTGTCTTAGAAAAATGAACAAAAGGGAATTAATCTGGATCCTCTTAATCTTATAGAGTTAAACAAAATTGTGAAAATTGAGACTAGACTATCAAAGATCTACCATAAAAATCATGTTACTAATCACAATATTTAACTTTTATCTAAAAATGAACATTTATGCCTAGTTTGGTCGCATTTGCTTTGTGAGAAAAAAAATTGGAAGGAGAGGGTGATAAAAATTAAGGAAAAAGAGAAAAGAAAAATATTATACACCGTAACATTTCTTAAAATGTATAATATCCTAACAAGATTCTGGAAATTTTCACCTAATTTTAACTGTGATCTGTACAAAACAAACCTTTTGTCAACACAGTGCTGTGAGAGGATTTCTGCAAACTTCATCATCTTTCTGCCATTCTCTGCTACAGATCTTGCTGTTTTTACTAGTTCTTCATGTGTCTGCAAAAAAAAATAAAATTATTTAATTTTAGTATAGTTGACCACGAAACAGAAATATGGTTGTGACAGACTATTCATCAAATGATATAAGCTTTTATTTAAGCACATTTACCTAGCATGAAATATTAAGGAGTATCATAGATTACAGTGCACAAGAAATGAAGTCATACCTACATAATCCAAAAGTCTTTTGGTTACTGCATTACAGTGCAACATTATTAAACTTTCAGCTACTGAATGTGTCTAAAGATGTTCAAAATTTCATTCAATTTTGAGAATCTTACAACGTTGAAGTTAATTTTGAATAGTTTGTTAGTCCAGACAAGATAAACAAAGCCAAAACCATCATACTTTTGAATATCAACTCATGATTTGAAAATTTTACTTTTAATCAAAATAACACCTTTTTAAATTGGCAATCCATTTCTAAAATGACTAATATGAAAGGGAAGAAGAAGTCAAAGAGTTTATTCGGTCCTGTAATAATAAAAAATAAATTAATATAGAAATATTGGACATTACCGTTCTGAAATATGCTTTTAAGCAATGGTACATTAAAGTTTTATATATATAGTCTTAAATACAAGTGACATCATAAAAGTGATTGATAATGTGGAGTTTTGCCAGATTTTAGGGAAAATTATCTAATTTCAAACTGGATATTTGCTTTAAGCAGTAACCATTCCAAAGGACAAACCAAATAATTGCTTGCCATAGAGTATATATGCCCTTATTTGTCTGTATATATAAGTCAAATGGTCAATTTATTACTAAGTGTTTTTTCCTTCTACTGTATTAACTGTCATTTTATGCCTGTATAACATGTAAAAAGTTAACCAGAATAAACTAGTTCCTCCCTGTCATCAACTCTCCCACTCATGAGGTAGCCATTGTAGAGCAGCAGAATATAATACTAATATATTTGGGTTTATAGTATAAAGGAAATGAACTACTGGTATTTAGATCTCAAAACTAGAAAAAAAATTGGATCATTCAATTTTAGGGTTAATTTGAATCCAATACCATCTGCCTGAAATTTTTTTGTGAAATTGTCTTTTTAAAGCACTGACGTGGTCATACAGTTTAAGTCATTCCAACTATGCCTGAAATGTTATTTTTCTATGAAAAGGTTAAACAAAGGCCAAATTTTTTATTCAACCCTGATGTGAAAAATCTGTTCCCAAGTAATTACATCTTAAGTCACAAATAAAAATCATAAAATTACTATAAAATACAAACAAAGATGCTTTCTTCCTTTGTAGCTTTAATCTGATTATTTACTTTTTCCTAGAAGTAATCAGAATTAATGCAAGATTATATATGACACCAGGTGTGAACTTGTCACTCACCCTGTAAATAAGAGATTATGGGAGGATCCTTATGAAATACCTGAGTATTAACACTCATTGAGATGTGCAGAAGCAGTTTATTCCGTATGAGTTGTCTTTTGGCTTTTTTTTTTAAAAATGTTTTAAAAGACAATCCAATTTTTATAGTCAATTAATCGATTTAACTCAAAAAATGCAAATGACTAAGTATTCATCTTTTGAGAAAAAAAGCAGAAACTGTACATGTAAAATAATTGAAAAAAGAAAGAATCAATCATTTTGAATAAAAAATCAAAATAGGTAGACATAGTCTATAGAAGTCACAGAAACCAAAATTTTAGTCATACAATTAATTGATTTACTACAAAAATGACAAAACGAAAAATTAAATTTGTTTTGTCATTTTTGTAGTAAATCAATTAATTTTGTAGTTTAGGCTTAATTTGAATAAAGTAAGGGGGAAACCATTTGATTTTTGGGAGATTGAATATCAAATTCCATCTGTTACCCATGTTAATTTTTTTTCAACGGCTTTGCTGTGCTAAATATTATTATCACTGTAGTACACAACTTTTTCCTAAACCGGTATTTTGAGTTGCAGAATATTCAGTTTAATACTGTCTTGGGCAAGATTATTTATTTTTATATTCCAATTTCCTATAGCCTCTGTCAATTCAAGACACAAGTTTCTATTATGGTTAAAACAGCCATCTTGAATTATTGATGGTCACCACAAGGATTTGTTTGTACTTACCTCCAGTTGGCTAGCTGGCACAACATTAAATTCTTCTTTTTAAAACATTTTGATTTATGATTAAACAATGTGATATGAAAGTGCATACTTGACTGTTATGATTTTATCCCTAAATGCATATTGAAAGAGGTGCAACTGAGTGCAAGCACATACTTGATGTATAATGTTATATAAAAATTGTATTACAAATTTACTTAATGCGAGGATCAACTGTTTTTAAGTGAGTATGAAAATATAAAAACATCTGATGTATTTTTAATTTTTGTTAAGTATATTTCCCATTCAATATAAGTAGTGAAGGAAAAGATTTAAAAAAGGAAAACTTTTTCTGTTAAGTTCTAGGATAGACTTTACAGGATAGGGGAGAGTTGTGTGGGCACAAATGTTTTTAATCCCTACCACATTCTTTATGTGCCGGTCCCAAAACAGAAGCATGTAGTCTAGAAGCTGTCATTGGTTTGGTTGCTGTCTGTCGTATTTGATTTTCTTTTAATGTTTTAAGCATGAATCAGTTCGTTTATTTTTTCTGTTGTTTTATTTCATATTTTGCTATCCTGAGAAGTTATATATGTTATTATTGGGTATGGGTTTAGCTCATTGTTGAAGGCTGTAGTGGAATTGTACTTATCTTGATTTTAGGTTCCTATTGAAAAAATTTATTGAATTAATAATTTTAACAAAACTATTCCACTTCAAGGATATTTCTCCAACATTTTATCATTTTCTGGTACAAGGGAAATCTATTTTTAAGGGTTTACCAAAGGTATGTTTTCATAAGGCAGTGGTGGATTCAGGCGAGGAGACTTTGGACGAAAAAAATAATTTTTTGGGGCATAAAATCATCCAAAATGTTTTCGCTCTGCTGGGTTATATATATATAATTTCAGGAATTATGCCCTCTTTCAAAAATCCTGGATCTGCCCATGTAAGCTCAGTAACCCTTTAAAAGCCAAAGTTATCTATGGTGTACTTCTAATAAGATGGATGAAGTTTCACAAGACAACAAGTTTTACAAGTCCCAAATCAAACTCTAACCTAAAGAAACCTTTAAAAAGGTAATAGAAATCTAGCTTCCCAAAAACTATTCACTGTGATATCAATGGATAATGTGATAAGCATGACATATTAGATAAACACAGTAATTCTATGGTACCTTTAGTCTTTGATAAAAGTTTAAATAAGCAACAATCTGACCCCAAAAATGTTTGAATTCCATCACAATCTTTCTAAAAGACCTACAGAAATAAAATGTTGTATCAGCAAAAACAAGAATGTGTCCATAGTACACTGATGACCCACTCGCACTATCATTTTCTATGTTCAGTGGAACGTGAAATTGGGGTAAAAACTCTAATTTGGCATAAAAATTAGAAAGATCATATCATAGGGAACATGTGTACTAAGTTTCAAGTTGATTGGACTTCAACTTCATCAAAAACTACCTTGACCAGAAACTTTAACCTAAAGCGGGACAGACAGACGGATGGACGGACAGACGAAGGGACAAACGGACGCACAGTCCGAAAAACATAATGCCCCTAGGTGGGGCATAAAAATGTGAAAATACTTACAAAAAACATTCCAACATTGTTGTAAACATCACAAGGATGCTGATGGATTTATAAAACTTTTCAATTACTGGGGAACAAAATTTGGTTTAAGTAATATAGCATCTGTAGGATACCTGCCCTCCCCTTTAAAAATTAAAACAATAAAAAAATAACAAATGTAAATGAAGAAAGACAACATCATTGTTTACAAGATTCTTTCTTCCTGTCCTAAAGATAGACCCAGACAATATTATATAAGTTACCTGAAGTCATTGAACCTTATTTAATACTAATCTGTTTACTATAACTACAGTTTAATGAAATCCAAGCTGTTCCATCACAAATAAAACTGAACATATGTACATAAATTCTATAAAAACTGCACACCATGTCATCAATGGATTTTTTGCTTCATAAACAATTGTTATTTTCTACTTAATTTAACCAATCCTTGTTTTATTATAAATTGCTTAATGCCTTGTAAATGAATATGAATAAATATATGAATACTAAGTGTGAACCAACCAAGGTTAAGTAAAACCTTTACAAATAACTTGATAAAGAAGAATAAGAAATAGTTATGGCATTCTAAACTTAATTTTTCTGCAATACAGACATGATTAAATTAGTTCTTGGAGTGTTTATTGTTCTAATACTAAATGTTTTATCGTGAGTACACTCTATTGTTACTATTTGTGTAAAATGTTATGTTTATTTATTTTATTTATTCATTATTTATTATTCAAAATTCTGGAAAAAAGAGGGTTTTTTTAAAATTAAAGATTATATAAAGTTTTTAGCTAGAAATATATATTCCGTTTAACAAATACTTATAAATAAAAAAAATTTAACTATTATATTGAATAATTCTATTTAGTTTTCTACGATTTTTATATCTATATTTTTTGCACTATACAATTATTCCATGTATAAGCTGTATGAAGAAATCCTCAGATTTATGTTACAATTAATTTGTACAATAAGTGATTTTGTAAAATACCTGAAATCTCAGGAGTTTTGTATGATCACAGAATTCATTAGTGAATTTGTAAAATCCCTGATTTTGACTAGAGATTTCAGATAATCAGGAAATATTTTAGAAGCTTTAATTTTACAGATTCTGTTTTAATTCAGGAAAGAAGAAGGTCTGTTAAGGGCTTATTTTGGCCTTAAATTTGAAGTACATCTGATGAAAAATTTTTGACATTTTTTAAACACTTTTTAAAAGTGTCTTCTTCATTCGATTCAATTAGTTTATGAAAAAGACTTGAACTAATTTGGTCAATAAAGACGCCTAAATTCAAGCTTAAATATGAAAAATCTATCAAATATGCCACAAAACGTCCCTTTTCAGATTGTTTTTTTGTCTAAATTGGAAGTGGCCGCATACATGTTCAGTCTCAACCTTTATATATGTTATGTATCATCATCAAATACAACATATATTTAAATATTAAGACTGAACACAAGTGCGACCACTTCCATTTTAGACAAAAACCGTCTAAAATTAGAACAAATGCTAAAATTGTGAAGATTTCAGTAATTTTGCTTGAATTAGTGATGCTAGTACCTGATGCATGTGCAGTGTAATGTCAAAAACAAGCCCATATTTATGTAACAAAAGTATTCATCTATCCAATAAATAGCTAAACGTTTACATTTTTAACAAATTTTTGAAATGCTATATTTTGGTGCCAAAAAAGGGTATACTCCTTTAGAAAAAAAATCACTTGCAGTTTGAGCGATTTTGGGGCCAAAAAAGGGCATACTCCTTTAAAAAAAAAAAATTTTTTTTGGACTTGCTATCCCAAAATTGTATTTAATACCAGAGAATGAGACAAACCTTGTCAAATCATATAAGATATAGTAATAGATCTCTATGATATCATGATATAGGTAAATATGGGTACTGAGGCAAGAATTTCATTCAAATAAGTGCTAAGGACCATCCTGAACTTGAATGAGGTGTCAAAAAATTTTAATCCATGTTGAAATCTTAAATGTGAATTTAAGATAAAGAGCAGCAAAAGAGAACAAATTTATTTACATGTATCATATCTCTTTTTCAAGAAGTTAAATTTTCTTCTATTGCTATTGGACTAATTTTTTTGTTTAATGCTAATGCTCTAGAAGATTAATAACTGTAAACAATTATGTATGGGCCTAACGGCAGGCAGGGGGAATTATGTAACAATAGATGTCATCCAACTTTTATCATCCAAAAATAAGTATGGTAATTCACAATCTTTATATCTGTACACATGCCTCTTATTCATAATCACTGTAAAATAACTCTAACCAGTTATGTCTGTTAAAAATAGTTTAAGCATGTTTTTCTTTATTTCAATTTATTTGACAAACTACATTTTTGATATATGAATTTGGTTTGTGATTTTACAAAACCTCTAGCACTATTTAGTCATTTTATAAAATTTCTAACAATCTTAAGGATTTGACAAAATCACTCAAACTGCAAGTGATTTTACAAAATCTCTTAAATATTTACAAATTTACTGTAACATAAAAAATTATTATGAATATAAAATGCTAATGTTTAATCAGTCTTTAAAATTATAAAATAATCCAACTACTTTACAATAAATACATTTTCTCCACCATTTAAAATTCAAATCTTATATTTCCTTACACTGCAGTACAATATTTAAAAAAAATATGTGACCAGGTGATAGTTAAAAGGCAAAATTGCGGAGAGTTTTATGAAGCTTTATTGGCATAAGAATACTGGATGACATAGGAAACTTGATTCAGAACCTAGGTACAAAACTAATATCTACAAAATTTTGTTTGTCTTCAATCTTCCACGTTTTCTATTTTCCCAGTGTAGCCTAAAAGTTATCAAATCAAAATGATGGATGAAGAATGGATGAAAATTATCTGAAAATATAACAACCTATGGAGATAAAATAATTCCATGTCATATAATAACACTTGCTCAAAAATATATGACATATTTTACCCATTGAGGGAGAAGTATATCCTTGGGATCATTATAATATGAAATAATTTATTAACTATTTTTTTCCAGAGAACCGACCACTCTACTGGATGACCTGTACATATCAACAAATCTAGATGATATTCTATCCAAGCAATTCAAATTCTATATTTATGACCTACCATCTTCCATGAATGTGGACATTGTCAATTATGCAGTTCAAAACTATGGATTACGGAACTGTATGTCACTGAGAAATAATGGCATGGGAGATGAACTACTCACCATAGGAGAAAATAATGAGATTTCAGTTCGAAACACAGATCAGTTTGCTCTCGAAGTTATCATTCATCAAAAGTTATTAAAAAGTTCGTACAGAACATTAAATCCTGATTCAGCTGACATTTTCTATGTTCCTGCCTATGTTGGTACACACTGTATTTTTTACAACAATTATTATTTCACAAGTTTAAGCGACCAATTAATAATGAACTTAACAGAATTTCTGCTTTCTCAAAAATATTTCATAGAAGGAAAACCCCACTTTTCCACAATTAGTAAAATTCACAGAGAAATGTGTTCCGAGTTTTGCCCATATCTACAGTACAATATTGCACAAAATATGACATTTCTATCCATAGAAAGGGAAGAAATCCCTTCAAATAATTTATTCATGAAAACTGCTGCCCAGTCCATTAATGTTATTCCATACCCTTCTTTTATGCACTGGGTACCAGGAAATATCACTAACAATTCACTACCGATTCCAAGCTTAGATCATAGAGATGTGTTCATATTCTTACCCGCTGGAATAATTTGCACAAATGATTTGAGATGTAAAATCATGGAACAATTTATGCATAAAACAAATTTATCATATGGAGAATACAAAAATCAAAGTTTGCCAACCAAGATGGTTTTCTTTGAAGTAGCGCAATGTGATGAGGAAACAGAAAAAAATTTAGTTTTGTGGATGCACCGTGCAGTATTCTGTTTACAGCCACCAGGAGATTCACCCACCAGAAAATCATTTTACGATTCAATCATGAGTGGTTGTATACCAGTAATATTTGGAAACCACTCTTTACAATATGCATTTTCAAAATATTTTGATTTTTCAAAATTTACTGTATCAATACCTGTGGATATAGCTCACACTGATAAAGGAATACTTAATTTTCTGAAGGATATAGATATAAAAACATTACAAAGACTTCATACAAATCTGCTACATATAATGAAGTACATGCAGTATTCTATATCTGATGACAAAATGGAAGAACCTGACGATGCTTTGAAGTTTATTTTTGCTGAGCTTGCTGACAAACTTATTACAAAAACATAAAGGCACTATGACACACATGTAAATATTCTGAGATATATATTTTTGTATGTTTTTTTTTATAATAAAGTATTTAAAATTTTTACCTTGTTTTTGAAATGAATAACATTACAACTTTTTTAGGGAATTTAATTATGTTTCAGATGTTAACTTAACTACAATCAGTCATGAACTTTTTTTCACAAACACTATTAAGAGAAAAACTATTTTTTTGAAGTAACATTTTTTATTGATTTCATTTAACTGAACGATAGAGTTTCTTTAGATCATAAAACTTCCCACTAAGAACTAGCTATACTGGTACTTATATGATTTCCTAATATAAAACAACCTTACTAAATTCAATTCTAAAATTTATTGTTATTGATTTTCAGTTTATTTAAAATAAGAAGATGTGGTATGATTGCCAATGACTCAACTCTCCACAAGAGACCAAATGATGTAGGCTTTAGCAACTATAGGTCACCGTAAGGCCTTCAACAATGAGCAATTATTTGTTCGCAATGTATTTTCTTTCCTCTAGACTGAGTGTGAAATCATTATTCAAATTTCCTACTCACTATACAAAGATGATATCTGATTTATTGTAGGACAATAAATGATGGACTATAAATGTCAAGTCTATTCTGTCATAGAAAATACCAAACTCACAGATTTTAAAACAATTCATTACTATTTTTTTCACAAAACATTCAGCTGGCTTATATCTGAAATGTACACTTTAATGAATGTTATCATACATGTATGCCTTACAATTATTCTGTACACAAAATATAGTAAACCTATTGCTTTAATATAGTGTCTGAGAAACAGACCTTACCAAAAAACTTAACTTTGACCAATGAATCATGAAAATGAAGTCAAGGTCAGATGAACACTGCCAGGCAGACATGTACACCTTCTAATCATTATATACACCACATAAAGTTAAACTATTGCTTAAAAGTATCTGAGAAACAGGCTTAACCATGAAAACATAATGCTGACTTTTGAACCGTAAAAATGAGGCCAAGGTCAGACCAACCTGGAAGACAGACATGCAACCATACAATCATTTTATACACCAAATAACACCAATCAATCAATCAATTTTCACCAAATATTGTTGCCTAATGCTTATAGTACGTGAGAAACAGACTTTACCATGAAAACTTTAGCATTGACCAATGAAACATGAAAATGAGGCCAAGGTAAGATGAACTCTGCCAGTCAGACATGTATACCTTGCAATCATTCCATACACCAAATATACTTAATCTATTGCTTAAAGTATCTGAGAAATGGACTAAAACACAAAAACAGAACATTGACCAATGAACAATGAAAATGAGGTAAAGATCAGATGAAACCTGCCAGACAGACATGTACACCTTACAATCTCTCCATACACCAAATATAGTTGACCTACTGCTTATACATACTTGACCACAAAAACATCCATGAAATAAGGTCGACATCAGGTGAACCTTGAATGAAGGACATGTAGACCTTGCAAGGATCCCATATACCAGATATAGCTATCCTATTACTCCTTACAATTGAGAAATTCAAACGAAAAAATAACCATACAGTTTTTGATGCAGTCACTGAACCATGAAAACAAGGTCTTCAAGGACAACGGACAGACAGACCAAAACTTCTTAGCATAACACTTATGTATACAAGGTATGAAGCATCCAGGAGACTCCCCCTAAAATGTAAAGCTCTACGAATAGTTTAATACCGTTGCTGCCTCCGTAGGGTTGTAATCCTTATGTGTCACATTCTGTAACTTTTATTGCAGGCAGGACAAAGACAAGGATTAAGGAAATTTCATTATCATTTCAGATTTAAAAAAAATATCAAGTCCCCCTTATATGCCTCACACCCCTTAATATGGCAGTACAATTTGTGGTGTTATACTTCTGAATTCTAAAACCTTACAGCCAAATATATAGATGAAGAATAGAAATAAAAGAACTGCTTCTTAGATGTTTAGTTTCCTCTCTTATTTTATGGCACATCCACTCCATATCCATTCTTATAAACACATTATAAAGATTACTTACTTGAATCTGACCTTCACCTTTGATATAGCCTGTCATCTTATTAAGCTGTGAGGACATCTCCTTGGCTACCTTGACAATAGGATTGCAATCATCTTCCCATTTCTCTGCCTCGGACTGTAGGTATTTAGATGCTGCCTGCCAAAGCAATAGATCTTTATTTAAATAACCAGTCATATAGTGCATTGCAAATTGTTCTCGCTTAGCAATTGGAAAGATTTCATAAAACATACTATCAAGAAATGAGACAATTCTATCATCAAGAGTTTTAATGATTTCTGTTGAATCCAAAAAATACAAAGGATTTTCAAACAAGATGTACTGTCATCTATTATTCACTTATTATACCTCAGCCCAATGTTTTTGTTTTACTTAGTTTGATGAAAATTTCATATATGTGCATATTTTAAAAATATAATTTTTTTTGCAAACAGGAAGTAGAATATGGAAGGACCCGAATATGTGTTATTTCATTACCAAATGAAGAATGGAGTCACATATTAAGAAGCTATGACTAGTATTTGCTGAGAAAAAATGTGATAGAAATGTAATAAACTGGAAAGAGGTTCAGAATACCCTCTGCTTTTATGTGGGGCTTTAAAAGCTAAACAACCAAGTTTTCTGTTGTTTATGCAACAAATATTACCAAGCCATGTCTCTTATAATTGATTATTTTGAGATTTCTGTCTTGTTGGCCATGCTTGTCATTTCTCCAAATATAGAAAAAGATAAAACTGGAAGGACCGTTATTGTTTACTTGTTATACAATTATGTGAAATGGTATAAGTATTCTATAACTTACTAGAACAGAAGCATTAGGTTTATATGGAGAATCAGATGCCTTCTTTTTCCTTCCTACTTTAGAAAATTGACCAACTGCCATATTCTGTTTTTCACTGAAAAAAAAATAGAAAGTGTAATATTTCATTTTACTCAGTAAAGCAGAGTTCTAATCATAATAGTCATCAAGTCTTCTTTGGGATATTTTTCTGGATGAACAATAATATTATAGTCATCAATACTAAACCAAATATCTTTTCAACATTATTTTTCTGTAAAATAACATATTTACAATTTGCAATCCCTTATATTGATATGTAGATAACTTGTTAATTATTGTCAATGTTATTCTTGAATATGCAATTCGTATGTTATATAAGCAAGCAGGCAAAACCCATTGCTAACTTGTGCCCAAGAGCTGGTTTTGAACTAATTCTTACCTACATTTTGGCCTCACTTGTATAGACATGGAAGCAAAGGTTATATTTAGCTTAATAGATGTAATATTGGTGTCCATATTCTTTATAACCTAAATTTTTTGCAAAGTCATAATACTGTTACACAGGTTAGATTAATAGACAATATATTAAATGTAGTCTGTCGAGAATTTTTGGCCAAATTGTGTTGTTGGCTTACCTTGGTGATTCAATGACATCTGTTATATTTATTCTTTTATCCAAAAGTTTAACATTTGATAATGTAAGCTAGCAATGTCTACATTTCCACAGCCATGATACAATAAGTTGATGGATATAGTTTTATTTAGACAGAAATTGGGAAATCTAAAAATGATTGACAATATAAACCTTGTAACACAGAGAAGTTCTTCATGTACTGTTTTAAATCCTTCTTGTCTGTTGTCATTCTCCTCCACTGGTTGGACTGATGGGTCCATTGTCTCAGCAAGTGTTATATCTTCAGATGTTTTCACACCTAAAACTTTATTCAAATCTGCAAAATGTAAGAGAAAGTCTTCAAAAAAGGGTATAAAAAAGCTAAATATGACATTTCCTTCATGTGTATTAAAATTTCTCTTTATTTTACCCTAAAATTATTTACTGCTGTGTTCATAAAAAAATTGATTTTCTAAAATATAACACTATATTTCATAAAGAAATTTGGTTGTAAGATATGCTAGACCAAAAATGTACTATAAAGTTATATATTAATTTTATTATAAATTTTACTATTTTCTTTATGACATGAAAGAGTAATGAGTTAAAATCACAAAATCACTTCTGATAATGTGATGTTACATTCATTGAATGTAATGCTATCTGAAATGATTTTCTTATAGGTTGTGGGATGAAATGCCTATACTTTATAGCTATAGATTCAAAGTTCCCTGTTAACCAGGATGCTAAATATGAAATTTGTGGGAGAGAACACTACTTCTGTTGTACTGTTTGTGTTTATTTATAATTTTATTTTTTTATAAGAAAATTGTTATTTGAACATAAAGAACTTCATGTCTGAATTTGCGACTACCATACAAGGCGCTAGAGCTAATTTAGATTATGATTATTACTTTGAACTAATCCAGGCTTTAAATCTTTCATCTGTTGTATACACACAAGAAGCTGACGAACTTTAGCTGCCCATGAAAACTTTTGCTTAGTGAATTCCTCCATTGTAGTTGATAAATCACCATCTTCTGCAACAAATATAAGAACAAGTAAAACACAGTATTTGAAATATTTTGACTACTTGTTTTAACAAATATATTCTATTTCTTTATATCAGGGTTCCACGATAAAAGGTTGTTCTATGGCCCAGAACAGACCCGCCATAAGGATTCATCTACAAAATAAACACAGAATGAAAACTTTTGAGTCTCTTAAATAAACGTAGGTGAAATAACTGTCAAAATATGGGCAATTTGGGTATCGTTACCTCATGTTACCTTTTGAATGGGCAAGTAAAAAATAAAAGAAGAAAACATGGAAAGAAACCAAATCTAGCTTCAATCATTTATCTTTTAATCTATAAACCATCATCACAATTAGCCCTGACAATATCTTCAAATTCACTATTTTTTGTATTTTTTCATTTCTACATGTACAGCCAACTAAAAGAATAATGGCAAAACAGAGTTCGATTCGGTTGATGATCAAATTTTGATGGACCATACATATGAGACCTAGCTATTTAAGGAAAACTATTAAGGTATCAGACACAAATTTATTTAGAGAGGTATTTTGGGGTAAAAATATGTTTATATTCTGTATTCTTAAGCAATTATGGACCTCTAAACTGAATCAGTATTGATCCCAGACTCGACAGGGGCATGGCAGCATACGATGGGGAAAATTTTTGGCGATATTTCAGAGAAATGAAAACCTGCACAGGATGAAATGATTTTGTGTCCATAATTGTAGTTTAGAAATTTCTTAAAGGGGTTGGCCTTGGTAACCACAAAATCTTCCTCTCCTTTAATTTTTCTTATATTAATTTACACCATTGAAAGGGTATGGGTGGTCCATGAATCATCTGCCCAAGTCTTGTTGAAATTCACCATTGCTTTTTAAGTTTATGGTATATAGAATATGACCAATTTTGGGGTACATAATGTACCATAAAAAATTGTCAAAAACACTAGTAGGCATATACTATTGTGTGTTTTTGCACATTTTCTCATTAGGAATACCCATGACTATTAAAATGTTTAGTAGAAACATATTTTGAAGTTAATCTGAAATGTCATGGTAATATTTGTAGCCTGATTGTCAATAAATGGTTTAAAACTATTGAATAAGTTGAAAATTCTGAACAGTTCAGACAACATTTTTATTTTTCAAACTTTGCCAGAATAAAAATTATTGTTTGATTCCTACATAAAATTGCAGAAAAATTATTGTTTATTAACCTTGAAAATCTCAAACTTTTATTGAATCTGACCATTTGAAATTTACAAAATTTTCAAAATAATTTGCCTTACAGATATAAGAAAAAAAGAAAATTTTTGGACAAAATTCTTTTTTTTTCCTATGAAACATTCTACTGTCTTTTTTTGTTTTATTTTTGTGTGTTTAAGTGAAAATTATATGGTCCCAACAATAACTGTAGTCAAGTTTATAAGGAAAATCAGTAATATTTAGTATCAGAAGACTACCCTTTGGATGAATTGACATGTCTACATTAAAATATATATTGTTGGTTTCCCTCCCCAAGACTATAAAATACCCTGTCATCAGACAAGCAGACATTAAATTGAAAGTTTTGACAGTCTGTCACTATCTAAGTACTATCTTTGTGCTAATGTAGGTTATCTGTTAGCATAAGATTGTACTAGGATGAATGTTCAGATCATAACTTCTAGAATACTGTAGTTTGTATCTGAAAACCAAAGACATACAGTTAAGTACAGCCTATCAACCAATAGCTTAGTTCTAAAATCTTGTAATTTCATTATTCAATCTAATTTTTACAATTCAATTTTTCCCAAACCTTTCAAGATTTTATCTAAATGATGTCAATAGTCATTCCAAAAACAAGTGGTTTTCTCTACCAGACTAGTAAAATATCATGGTCGCTTAAAGGGAAAAGTTTTAAAAACTTAATGATGCACCCTGCAGATACAAAAACAGAAATGCTTAAGTGAATATGATTGAAGCCAATTAACTACAGATTATCTATGGTTTAGAAAACAAGAGGGAGTTTCATCTGTTACAATCTCATAACAATCTGTGTATCGCTCTTTTCTTAGGCAATTTCAATGACATAGATTTATGATGTTATAATGTTCTTACTCTACTCAACTGAGAAAAACCATTCTCAGTTGAGTAGCTTGATATTGAAAATCATCACCAAAAAAATCTATTTAAATTTAAGAAAATAGCACTAATCAAAATAATTTAGCTTTTTTAACCTACATATATATGTCTTATCAGAGATGTGTTTTATTCGAGTAAAGTTCCTGTTATTCACCTACCAGTTAATTTTTTGACAATATCAATAAGCTGAGGAGAGATTCCAGTCACTTCATCTAAACACTTTCTAACAGCTGATCGCTTGTCAAGTTCTGTAGACAGCTGGATACCTTGTAAAGTTTTCTGTCTTAAACTCATCAAACTTTCACTGAATTTACTTAGAGACAACTGAAACTCTGACATGCACATTTGTTTTTCTGCGTCTGCAAATAATGTTCAAAGGAAGTGTGATGAAAAGAACATTTATGAATATGAAAAAATATAAAATTCTTTCAAATTATAATTTGTTTATTGTAAAATGACCAAAAAAAGACAGCTGTAATTGCTTATTTCTGATAATTTATTATCAATTATAAGCAGTGTTGTGTTTTGTAAGACTGATACCTTTTATTTCATTTTTCTTTTTTGTGATTTTCAAATGCTACGGACCAAAAAGTGACCTCATCAAATCGTCTTTTCTTTATCAATGTTTTTTTCCATTTATTTTACAGTATTTTGTTCATCTGATTTCATGACCAGAGAAAAATATGAACAACTAATTTCCGAAAAAATGAAATAATATTCAGAATGATCAAAGCTTTCTATCATTTAAGAGCTATGGGTCTTCGACCTATTATGGTTTGCCATATTTTTTTTTTTCTGTCACTGAACACATTTAATATGCCACTTACAGTTACAGATATGTTCTCAGAAATATTCACAAAAATGTTTCATGATAGTGAGATTGCTCGGTTTTCATGTAAAAAAACAAAGTCAACACACAATTTTGAAAAGGCCTGTGATCAATATACAAAATGTAGCTTCCAATAATGTTGTTTTCTATAAATATAGCAATAATGGTATGTTTAATCTCTCCATCATATAAGTTTTCATCACAGGGAGATTTAAAACAAAACGAGATCTATACAAAATACTGATAAATACCTGTTTTAGCTGTTCTGACTTCCATAGCACTATCTGACAGTTTATTTAATAAAGCAGTATATATTAATGTTTGCTCTTGTAATATATCCATACATTTTATACTCTGAAAATACAAACAATTATTTCAATTTCATCTTTACATTTCTTTAGTGGAAAAAATTTGAAAACTAAAATGAATCTATAATTCATAAGTACAAATTCAGCTAACTACATTCATTTATTAAACATTTCTTAAATACATTCTCATCATACAAATATTCAAACATCTATCTAAAATTACTGTAAATTTTACCATTGCAACCATTATTGGTATTCATTTTAGAGTAGCTTCCCTTTACACCGTGTATTCTGACAAACTGTGCTTGCTATGCGGTATGGGTTTTACTCATTGTTGAAGGTGTCCTGAATCAATATGCTTTGGACTAACCTTAACAATCCATTGTGAAGAAAGTAGACCAAGTCTACAACATATGTATGTCACTGTTATTTTATTCCCTTCTCTTTTCTTTTTGGATGAAGTGGATTTTATACTGTCATACAATCCATCTAGATCTAAACATAGAGATGTTGCTAACTCAGATACATTGTCATTTCTGAAACAATAAAATAATATCCATGGATCTGTTAATTATACAGATATATTGATCAGATGGAAATATGAATTTACAACTTATTCCATTGTAATAGATTATCTTAAAATAAAAGGTGCATATTAAAAAGAGTTAAGACATTCCTGGTATGATCAGGGAAATAACCATCAAATTCTACACATATGTCAATGTTACAATAGAGGTCTTCTCCTGGTTTCCCCACATTTAATTACACCAATTATCTATAATTCAAATAAACAAAAAAGACAAAAAGTAGATTAGTTTCAGATGAAAAGATTATCGGTTCAACAAATATTTTAAAATACATTTATATATTTTATTTTTCTTCTTAAAACTTTACATTAATCATGATTAAATCATAAATCAATCATTTCTTACCCAAGACATGCACTGTGTAAGAGATTTCTTATCTGGCTATTCTGATGTTGTATATGTTCAAAAAGTTGTGAGTCTTTTAACGGAATGCTGTCATTTGGCCACACATTTCTTTCACAACCTTTAGTGTAAAGGTTAGAGGTCAATTCTTCAAGGTCATCAAGAACACAATATATTCTCACTGCCCATTCTCTGCAAAGTTGTTCCAGTTGACATTTATCTTGATGAGTAGCTGCAATAAAGAAAGCTAAATTAACACATATGTAAAGTAGTTTCATGACTTTACAAAGTTTAACCCAAAAGAGAATATATAATACCTTTTACTCTAATCAAAAGGTCGTCTACCTTAAGCTTCCATGATAAAGTACTGCAATAAATATCAATACTTTAGTTTTTTCCTACAATTTCTGAATTTCAGGCAAAAACTAATCCTGTATCTACCAAACTTAGGTCACCTTTATTGATTTGATCAGTCACAAGAGATTTAACTTCTGTGCAGCAGACACCTATATTTATCAGCTCTGTTTTGAAACCTTCCAGTGCAGCAGGCACCTCTATCTATAAGTTTCATTTCATAAACTATTACAACCAAACCATGTCCTTTCTATTTGAAAAAATCATTTTCAGTCTCTGCTGAAAATTTTAAAACTTTGGCAGCATCCAGTTTTATAATTAGAGAGTTATAGCATATTTGAAAATATTCTTTCTCCTGCTTTTAGAATGGAACAATACTATGTTACTGATTCTAACTGCAACTTTTAAGATTTAAGTACAATGTCAGCGGTTGATATTTTCATTTCATGACTGGTAACTAACAAGTATATGACTAAAAACTGACAATAAGTGTTGTTACTATGGTAACAATAAAGCAAATTGTCTAAATGATTAAATATTTCCAACTCATAAAGTTACTATGGTAACAAAAATGGTAAACATACAAGCCATAGTAATATTATCTAATGTTAACTCTATGGCAGCGACAATATTTAGGACTTACATGATTTATTTATTACACCTGATGTTGTTACTATGGTAACTGTTATGTTATCTAACTCGTTACTATTCTCTTGTAGACGATGACACCTTTCTTCCCTGATATCTTTATCATCGATACATTCTGTTAGATTCATTAGTTCTGATATACTTGTGGTGTGATGTTTTAATGAATCAATCTACAAAATTAGATCAGATTAAAACACATTTTTATTCAGATTACCAGAAAAGACCATAGTTTGCATTTTTATCTTCTAAAAATCATTAGAGATTAGACTGAACCTCTGAGTCTTGTGCATATGATATTTCTCTACTCTCAAAAAGTTCAATCTTAAAAATTCATAAACATTTTATCTACCTTTGCTTAGAGAAATATTGCATGCACACTATGCAGAGTTGAAATATGTATAAATATATATGTATATTACAACTTACAGTTATTCAAATAAATAGCACATAGTATTTAAGAACATATAAGGAAACAAATTGGGGTCAGATGGTTAAAGGAATGAAGCCCACCTAAATGTTCCACTAAGATTTTTTTTTGAGGCATCTGATATCTATGCATGATAGTATATAACTTGTTCATGAATACAAGTTCTTACCTGTTGTTTCATTAGCCGCTGATCAGAAGACATGGTTGACTGATAAACAGGGTCAGAAACGTCTTTCCACTGGTCCACTGTAACATCTATAAATACTCTTATCTTCTCAATCTTCAATGTAAAGCAGTAATATTGAACTATTACAATTTGTATACTTAATAAATATAAAATTTACGATATGATTAGACGGCTTGATTTTTAAGTCGGTAAACCTATCTTTGTTGATTTTCTCCTTACTGTGAGAGTTACATAAAACCGATGTTGCCTTCAAAAGTGGTTGACGTGTTTTATCTGTCTCATATCTTTTAATAATCAAACACACAAATTTTCATGAAATCATATGTTTTACAATAAATCCTAATTGAAAAACCTGTGTATTGCATCTTTCAAATGTGAACTATCAGAAACAAATAAGAAAGATTTTGGATTTGTATCTTAGATCTCTTTATCTATGGCAATGAGGACAATATGATTTGTAGATTCCAATTTTCAGAAATTTGGGAAAATCCTAGGTCATTGGGTGTTTTAAATCATAATTTCAGACTCACATATCAAAAGTCAATGGAAAATATACATTTCCCTTTTTATACCTTATATTGGCTTAATGTTTATAAGGTCCACATTTTACTTCTGTATTAAATTTACTGTAGTTCACTGTTTATATACATGTAGGTATTTTCCTACACAGAATCAACAAAAAAATTTGAGACAATTTTGCAGTGGTAGAAGGTTACAAATATTTCGAACATATTTTAAAATTAAATAAGGGCCATATTAAGATGTGGTCATTTCTTAACTCTGTCCATCGTTTTTCTATTGACCTCCAGGTAACCTGTTTGTCGCACCTATGAGACATCATATGTTAGATCTGAGGCCTACAAATCACCAAAGTCTTTTTAAATTGGTACTGGTATTTGCTGCTTCTCTAATAACTTGGGAGCAAAATAAAAAAGAAGTCAGCTCAGAGTATGAATAATGCTTTTGTGAAGGATTATATGTCTTCCTAAAAACTATAATCTTGTCAACTAGCCTTTAAAAGAATGTTGGCTAAGGGTGTCACTCTAGTACATAGCAATGTTCATATTGATATAACTTTAACATGTCCTAGTCCTTAATATGGTTGATTGATTACTCACAGAACACCAAAACTATCTATCTTTAAGGACCTACCTTGACTTCCCATAGTTGACTTAAAGAACAAATATCAGAAATATCATCTTGATCACCCATTGCTATATATTTTAATTTCTCTGTCAGGTCTGCAACTAATTCATCTACTTCACTACACAGGGAATGTATACTTCTGTTAACAAAATAAAACTTTAAATATCATTTAGGTCGTACGGTTGCCTATAACTGCTTACATCCACTTCATTTGAACTTTGGTGTATAGTTGTTTCATTGGCAATTATACCACATCTCCTTATTTTTATATAAATATCACTTAAATTCTGAAGCTTCACAATTTAAGTAAGAATTTCAGTTATTTTGGCTAATGAGATAAATGTTAAATCTAAACTCCAAAATAGACTTTTCTTATATTTCTTGGTATTTTTGTTTAATTTCATCTAAATTATGTATTTTTCAGCAACTTTTAGTGTCCAGTGTAAAATATTTCATTATATTTTCTTTCTAACTTAGGCACAATGAATAAAAATCTAAATGGAATCAATTCACATAAATAAACACAGAATCGTTCATAAACAAGACTAAAAGGCAAAGCAAACACTCACCTTCGTTTGGCAGTATCAGAGTGTACCAAAAGACATTCAGCACTATCTACTATGTGATTACTCCATCCTAACAAATCTCCACTCACAGACTTTATAACATGCTTATCTCCCTTATTTACAGCATCAGTTATCTTTTCTTTTATATGAGAGGTAGTGGTCAGATCTACAGAAATAAAATGAAAAGAGGACATTGCATTCATTTGAAAGACTACAGGAAAATTGTAAAAGAAGAAATCAACTGATTACAAAAGTTGATTCAAAATTTTTAACATTAACAAGAGTGCACAAGCTGAAATGTCTCGCCTTCTTTACTAATCATTGATATTATGTTGATAGTCCTAAATATAAAGCTTTATTACAACTGTCACATAAACTTAACATTAACCAAGTAAACTAAACATTGACCAATGAACCATGAAAATGAGGTCAAGGTCAGATGAACCATGCTAGGCAGGCATGTACAGCTAACAATTCTTCCATACAACAAATATAGTTGACCTATTGCTTATAGTTTAAGAAAAACAGACGAAAACACAAAAACTTAACACTGAGCAATGAACCTTGAAAATGAGGTCAAGGTCAAATAAAACCTGCGTGACTGACATATAGATCATAAAATATTTCCATACACCAAATATAGTTGAACTATTGCATATAGTATTAGAAAAAAAGACCAAAACTCAAAAACTTAACTTTGACCACTGAACCATGAAAATGAGGTCAAGGTAAGATGACACCTGCCAGCTAGACATGTACACCTTACAATCATTCCATACACCAAATATAGCTGACCTATTGCATGCAGTATTAGAAAGAAAGACCAAAACTCAAAAACTTAACTTTGACCACTGAACCATGAAAATGAGGTCAAGGTCAGATGACACCTGCCAGCTAGACATGTACACCTTACAATCATTCCATACACCAAATATAGTAGACCTATTGCATACAGTATAAGAAAAACAGACCAAAACACAAAAACTTAACTATAACCACTGAACCATGAAAATGAGGTCAAGGTCAGATGACACCTGCCAGTTGGACATGTACACCTTACAGTCCTTCCATACACCGAATATACTTGACCTATTGCTTATAGTATCTGAAATATGGACTTGACCACGAAAACTTAACCTTGTTGAATGATCCATGAAATGAGGTCGAGGTCAAGTGAAAACTGTCTGACGGGCATGAGGACCTTGCAAGGTGCGCACATACCAAATATAGTTATCCTATTACTTATAATAAGAGAGAATTTAACATTACAAAAAATCTGAACTTTTTTTTCAAGTAGTCACTGAACCATGAAAATGAGGTCAAGGACATTGGACATTTGACTGACGGAAACTTCGTAACATGAGGCATCCATATACAAAGTATGAAGCCTCCAGGTCTTCCATCTTCTAAAATATAAAGCTTTTAAGAAGTTAGCTAACGCCGCCGCCGCCAGCCGCCACCGCCGCCGCCGGATCGCTATCCCTATGTCGAGCTTTCTGCGACAAAAGTCGCAGGCTCGACAAAAATGAGGTAAAGTGCATATGCCAAATAGAAGCTTCAGACCATAAAACATATAGGAACAAACATGGATTGTATCGATCTACTAGTTAACAATGTTAAAGGAGTATGTCTGGTAAGGTCTGATTTTGGCCTCAAAATTCAGGTTCATCTGATGAAAGATTTTGGACACTTTTTAAACACTAAAGTGTCTACTTCAGTCGATTCGATTAGTTTATGTGAAAGATTTGAACTGATTTAGTCACTAAAGACGCTCAAATTCAAGCTTAAATATGAAAGTCTATCAAATATGCCATAATATGTCACTTTTCAGGTGTTTTTTGTCAAAAATGAAAGTGGCCACATCCGTGTTCATTCTCAACCTTTATATATGTTATGTATTATCATCAAATACAACTTACATTTAATAATTATTAAGAATGAAGACAAATGCGGCCACTTCCATTTCAGACGGAAACCGTCTAAAAATTAACCAAAATGCTAAAATTTCGAAGATTTCAGGAATTTAGCATGACTTAATGATGCTAGTACCTGATACATGTGCATTGTATTGTCAAAAACAGCCCATATTTATGTAACAGAAGTATTCTTCTTTCCAATAAATTGCTAAAAATTTACATTTTAACAATTTTGTAAAACTGCTACATGTATATTCATAGTTGCCAAGTGACATGATATTCGCGTGTAATACACGCTTTTTCAATGGTTTACATGCAAGGATTTTGTCACATGTGGTGTACACGCTTTTCACCACTTGACACGCAATCACACGCTTTTTCGTTGTTTTGATTTTTTGGTCGTTAGTGATATCGTGATTCTCGGTTTTTTTTATTACTTGATGATAAATACTGAAAATTTCGAAACAATTGTTTGGACGCCATTGATTATTTTTCTTATGGACGAACAGAAAAAGCCCTTAAGGTAAGTAGTTTGTAATAAGTTTTTAAGATTTTGAAAGATTTTCTTTCTTTCAAATTCGCTTAGGGGAAGTGTCCACAGAAAGAGGTCGCTTTCAGGACTACTGTCGTCTAAAGAGTTGATTGCTAAGCGAAAACGATGTGTATATATACGTACCAAGATAATTTCAAGATTTATAAATTATATTTGGGTTTTAGAGTTTAAATGAGCGACGGACGAGTAATGCATTATGTGAACCCTATGCTGCAATCATAACAATACATGTGAGAGGAGAACTACAATGTAGCTATTTGATTAAGCATTTAATGTTGAATGGTAATCAAATTATAAAATATTTTTCTTTTTCAGTTTCAAATCTGGCCAACAGATTTCCACAGGCCATAGGGGTTGGAAATATCACGGAACTGTTGGATCAGTTCTCATAGTACCAGCTGTCTTCTGATGAACTTCCAGGTTTTGACCAGGCAATGGCAACATATATATTTTGTTGGGAGCAATGGCAGAGATAAAAGATGACATTTTAGATGTAAAAAATCGTTATGACACTCTTTCAAAGCTTAATAAAGCTATTATATATACATATAGTTCAACCAAATATCAATCCTGACTTTGAGAGAGCATTTTCAAATATAAAGAAATGTACACTGAATTCTGATCAGAACTTGACAATGATATATTGTGTGCCTTGTTATCAAGTAAATGTAACCAAACTGGCAATTGTTTAGAATATGTGCCTTGTGGTGTTGCTTTAAAAGCAGTAAAACAGACCACTGTTGAAACCAATAAAAGTTTACAGTAGAATATTGTTTTTTATATTAACAAATTTATATAGTGTGAAAAAGTCTGCATCTACGTCGCACGTTTTCACACGCTTTTTGACATGTCATGTCATGTCATGACATGATTTCTCATTGTCAGAGGTTGGCAAGTATGGCTATATTTTGGGGCCAAAAAGGGGTCTTACTGGGCCTACTCCTTTGTACAATTAGTTTATGCCTTCACAATCAATGACATGCAGTTATCATACCTATTATATTTTGCTTTCAGTAAAATTTGTTGCAATTGAATAAAAATACTTGGCTCAAAGAGTAGAGATTCCTTATACTATAAATTCAGAAATTATTGCGATGATTTTATTAATGTGAATAATGCAACTAGGTGAGTATCGCAATAATAAGAACTCGGAATCGCAATAATTAATCTCGCATTATTTTCCATTCTTCAAATATGGAAATAGTTTCTAAATCTCCAGTACCAATATATTCTACCACCATTTTTCTCCTTACCTTGACTAGATTTTAACCTTGATGTGTGTTGATACGATTTGAGAGACTTCTCTCTGTTCTGCTGATATGATTCCTGCGGATTGACGTTTGTTTGATGAAATGATTCCTGAGATGAGACAGATTGCAATGATTCAGTACTTTTCTGTAATGCACTTCGTTGTAATGGGACTATTTTTTGTAGAGTAGAGACAGATGAGTGTGTGAGAAAGTCATCTTTACTACAGATATCCTCCTGTAGGAATCTGTTGTCGAGTGGCAGAGATTTCAAAGCACCAGTTGATGAAAATTTAATATGACTAGAACTTGAGGTTTTCCTTCTTTTCTCAGCTTCTGTAATGTTAACAAAAAAATTTAAATTAAAAACATATTTTTTTGAAATAATAATTCTATCTGCTATCATTGTCCAGTTTAAAGACATCTTTTTCATTTATTACTTGTAATAGTCTCTAAAAACAGGCCAAGATCCAGGATTTGAGGAATAAGTGGACCTTATTTTGACACAAAATATGCAATAGCTTTTCATTTAATACATTTTTTCTCCCTCTTTTTATGGAGGGTCCACACCAGGTAATCCCCTGTCTGAATCTGCACCTGATTAATATATATAAAATCTATATACAAACAAAAACTTTTGAATATTCTAGATTGTAATTTTCAAACTTTTGACAAATAAAACAAGTGAAACTGCAAGCTACTACTCACTGATGATACTTCCGCCGCAAGTGGATAATTTTAATAGTGTAATAATATGTAAGTGTTCAGTAAACAGGAAGTTGTTGAGTGATGAATCTGAAAATGCATCACACGGTATAGCTGACTTATATAAACCCTGAAACCAAATTTCAGAAATCCTTGTAATGTAGTTCCTGAGAAAGATGCGACGAAAAATATTCATGGGACGGAAGGACGGACTGAAGGACTGATGGATGGACGGATGGACAGACAGAGGTAAAACAGTATACCCCCACTTTTTTAAAGCGGGGGTATAAAAATTTCTCGATTACTTATCTACAATTTTTTTTATCATAAAATGTGAAATTTAAAACTATTCATCAGAAATACACAGAGCTTAAAAGTTCAAAAGTATAAAAACCTGCAAATCTGAGATTCCGCCTCTCTGGACTAAGTATGTTTGGCTGATTCTCTGCATTCAAACCATTTTTGACTTTTCTTACACATTCTAACAAATGTGATAATCTTCTAAGTAATGATTCTACTGCAGAATTACTGGTTACATCAGAGTATACATGGGTTGATCCTGCTCTTATTCCAGTTATTGCTGTAATTAAATTAAAAGTAAAAAAATACAAAACTTTAATATATAAATGATAAAAAATGGCTTTCATAAAAACTTACATCCTAAAATACTTGTGTGGCATTATTGTTCTTGTCCAAAGGGCTTATGCAAAGAAAGTAAGAAAAATGGAGGAACAGTAAAAAAGTATTTAATAGTTTAATAATTGCAAAATTTGTCCCAAGGTAAAAGTAAACTGATCATGAGGTAGGGTGAAAGCAGAAGAGCAGAGGGGATTGATTTTTGTAATAACTAGTCAATATTTCTTAATACTTTTTCTTTTGTGATTTATTTTGGCCAGTAGAAAATTTATGTGAATACGAATCGTTCCGAATATGTAAATGTGTGTCCAAGTCAGCCAGAAAGAGCTAAACGAGAAATGAGGTATCCTTGAAAATACGTTAATTTACAGTATCTCTTTAGAATAATTTTCTATTATTTAAGGAAAAATAACTTAACAAATATGAACATACCTTTATGGAGGCTTTTAACATAAACTAATAATCCGTTACGATACAGTGGATCATCATGGCTATCCACAATTCTCTCTCCAACCTGACATACTCGCCGTGATCTACCCACCAGAGATTTAATTGCACTATTAATACCTTCTACATCACAGGTCATTACATATCCTCTACATACACCTATGTCTTCTTCTATTCTTTTCTCTGAATTAACAAATGTTTACTGATAATATATATATATATATGTGTATACAATTATCCATTGCTGTAAAAACATCAGTTTGCAAGCTTTTATAAATGAAGATGATATACATATATCTTTATTTGGGTGCAATGCCAGGTTTTGGCATGTTGCCAATTTTATGTGCATAGGAAACTGGAGTTCTTGGATTGTTAAAAATTAACTGACAACTACTATTTATATGTTGCTGGAGTTCATCTTACCTTTTTTTGTAAAAGTTTGAAACAAGTGGCAAAGTCTATACTGATAAGAGTATTTTTGGAAGTGCTATGCTGACAAACTACCTAGACTGCTTGACAAACAAGGCCTTAAAAAATAATGACAAGAATACCAATCTTTCAAGAATTGTTTTAAACACCTAATGATATTCAAATACTGTAAATTCAGAAATATTCACATTTTTGTTGTATTATTGCAATAAGAGCAAAAATAGAAACTTGCATTTTAAAAGTATGCAGAGGTTAATGTTTTGTTGCTGAAAAATCATATATATATAAATAAGGACATGTGGTATGATTGCCAATGAGACAACTATTCACTAGAATTAAATGACATGGATATAAGCAGTTATAGGTCACTGTACAGCCTTTAACAATGAGAAAACCCCATACTGTATAGTCAGCTAAATTTACACCATTTTATGATAAATAAGAAAACTACTGACCAGAAACAGCCATAAATATCTGAGGATCTGTCATTTCATCCAAGATTTGCATCAACGTATTCAACTCAAAAGACCATTCTTTCATTAGAAGCTTGACATGACGGACAGCCATCTTGTCCAACTGGTCCCTGGCCATACATAGAGCTGCTGGTACAATATCAGGATCCAATCTTTCCAGATGACATACACATGTTCTTATTACTCTGACACCTGTAAGATATTCACACACATTTGAACAAAACAAAACCATGTATGGAAAGGTCAAAATGTGATTGTCCAATTTAGAATATCAAATAGGTGTCTAACCAAAAATAGGGACTGCATGAAATATACACATGTTGATTTAAATGTACACTTTCCTGTGAAAAATATCCAAGAAGCAATGTTGCAACAATAAAAAACTTTTTATTTCAATGTCATTTCTAATAATTTTCTTTAATTTTTTTAATAACATAAACGAAAACAGATGATATAAAAAGTTTTAGTTAAGAATCTGAAAAATATTTTTGAACAAGTGATTGATATTCAAATTACCCATAGAAGGTCACATATACTCAGTAGGTAACATTTAAACATAAGACTTGTTGTTACATACTCCTATGGAGAAATGGAACATTCCAAAATGATTGATTGATTGATTGATTGGTGTTTATCGCCACTTTCAACACTAGGTAGGAAAACTGACAATCCTAGTCAATTAAGATTGGAGTCGAGTACACCTGCCCCATGCAGGATTCAAACTCACAATCTCAGTGTTGACTGGCTAGTGATACAGTAGTTTGACTACTTAGACCACAACGCCACCAAGGCCCCTCATTCCAAAATGCAATTATTACTAAGACTCAACAGTAAACTTTCTAAATACATAATTTAAAATTCTTAAAATAACTATTTGAGTGTGTATGGATACAATATTAAGATTGTACAAGAAATTGTAATGCAAAATGAAATCTGTAATTATATTAAATACAGAAAATTGTCCTGAAGATGCCACTCTTAGTGGTAAACCATGTCGATCAAGATAACATATACATATGTGCTTATTGCAGGTGGTGTTGCCTTAAATGATGAATTGATTAATACAGAAAAGTTGACCACTCTGTATAGATAATATATTTATATATTCTTCAATATGGCTTCCACTAAACTATTGTAAATTCATTAATTTTCATGGATACAAATTTTTGTGGAATGAGGAAAAATTTAATTACCATGGATATTTGAATTCAAAGTTTTGCCAAAAGTTTGTATATAAGACTATAGAATATTTGTACTTTGTTGAACAGTAAATTGCTGGTTCACTTTTACCCATGAATTCCACGAAATTTGGTATCCCATGAATAATAATGAATCCACAGTAATTAATCTTACGTGTGGCATCAGTTGAGCTAGCTGCTGCAAAGCTGGCAACTTGACACATTTTATCTGCATGTTCTTCAAACTCTGTTATCAAAATGTCATTTTCTTCTATAGACTGATCCTGTTGTACAAAAAATATTAAATTAAATCAATATTAAAATACTATTATAAACAACTAGAAATTGTCAAATAAGACATTTATCAATTTCTGTTTGCACTCAAAAGATCTGAATTCTCTTTAATATGATGAGATTTGATTATTTTTCACCTTGGGTTAATGTTACTAAAAACTCTGTCAGTCATTTTAATTAGAAAAATTTATATTCTATGGTAACATAATCTTTAACTTATCAGGTAAAATAAGGACTATAAATCACTAAATTTTTTTACAACATTCCATATATAAATATTTCAAAAGTTAACATAATATTTTCCTTCCCTGATGGACAGATAAGCAAAGGAGATTCCATAAAACCACACACTTTAAAGGTTATTGAATTACAAAAAAAAGTTATCTTCTACTCTTCATTTGCCTATCATTTCTTTTCATTACACTATTAATAATCAAGTTGTAAATGTCATAACGTACATGTAGTAGAAAAGTAAAAGTAAAGGTAAGATGATTTTGTACCAATCTGAGTGAAATACGGATCCTGTGTCCACACTTCGCTTACAAGGATCTGACAATGGCTATTTCTACTTTCTGTTCTGGTCATAATTACATCAGCCAAATAAAAATTCTTGCCTCTAAACTTTGGAAGGTGCGTATCATTGCAATAAAAACCAGATGAACTCGAAAGTTCTTTATAACAGAAAGTAGAAAGAAGCATTTTCAGATCCTTGTAAACAAATTTTGGACACATATCAGATTGTTTTTTGTACCTGTTTAGGATACATTGCTGCCTTTATCAATCTTTCTATAGGTTCTGTTGTTTCTTTGAATATATCAACGATCAAGTGAAGTAAACTCATGTTGACATTCTTCTCTAATTCACAAAACTCATCAATCAATGATTCACAACACTCATCATAATCCTCTCTGTAGAAAATGAAATTTGATAATAAATTATAATACATTTAGTAATCTATATTAAAAGTTAATATTAAAGAAAGATTCACAACCCTTATCATAATCATCTCTGTATATAATGAAATTTGATAGCACATTTAGTAATCTATATTAAAGATAATGTTAAAGAAAGACAGTAAAAGAGTATTCAATTACCCTTCACAATAAGGCAAGCCGATTTTTAGCATTAATATAATATATTCAAGAGTGGACATGTTGAAATGTCTTGTCTGCTTTATGGATCATGATGGAATTTTATTTTGAAAGTCTTAAAAATAAAAAATTGTACTATAGGTATCACAGATTCATGAAAATGAGATCAAGGTCAGATAAACCCTGCCAGACAGACATGTACACCTTACAATCATTCCTCAGACCAAATATAGTTTGACTTTTTGCATATATAGTATCTGATAAACTGACCATACCACAAAAACCATTTATCAATGAACTTTGAAAATGATTTCAAGGACAATAGACATATGATAGACAGAAACTTCGAAACATAACATTTCTTATCTCTATCACTTCTGAAACATTTCAGGGGACCAATTCATCTTGCAAATTATTAAACTATTTATATCAAAAGAAATGCAAAACCTCATTGCATTGTTGTAAGACAGTAACAAATAAAACAGTAAATATTCAAAAACATCTTTAAACATCTTTTGGTTGTATTTAATTTCTCCTTTCTGTGGCTAATATCTTTTAAATGTATTTTTGATACTTCTTTTAATTTCATTATATACATACAAATGTTTTAAATATGTACTACTTTCCAGTATGTTCTTTTTTTGACCAGGCCTGATTTGGTGGTGTTACATCTTACAGAGTTTATTCAAATTATTTTGCAAAGAATTCTGCTCAAACCCATGCTAGGGACCATCTAAAACTTGCAGTGAGGTGAGAGTTTTTTTGCTCCGTGCTGAAGGCCTCAGTGACTTTGAGATGAGGAACAGCAATAAAAGCGCTGTTCCTTTGCTTTTTGTGTGTTGTTTGCTGTGTATTTACTGATTTTGTGTCATGAATAGATACCCCATATCCTTTGTTTTTCTATTATAAATGTATATATAAACTGACCTCATTCTCTGTATATCTGTTTTCTCTTTGATGGCAAGCGACAAGGCTAAAACACGACCTTTCAGTTGTAAAATCTACAAATAATTATACTTATCATATCAAAATCTGATTTCAAGGGCATTTCTTATAATCAAATATAAATGAAAAAAACATGGATATTCTTCTACAGAAGATTTACTTAAGTTTAATTTTGTCTCTGATTTACAATACCATATTGAAATACATGTATTCTTCCGGTCATAAAAAAAATTAGAAAATATGTTTATGAAGGAACAATATTCATTTTGAATTTTTTTTAACTTTTATATCAACAGATCTACTTATTACATAAAAGAAAACTAAACATATATTCATTATGATTGTTTAGCTTTTATATCAACTGATCTATAAAATACATAAAAGAAAACTATACATATTTATTCAGAAATGCAAATTTAAGAATGAATTTATTTTGTTGAAACAGTAAAGGAATAAGATTGATTGATTGATTGTTGGTTGCTTAACGTCCAGTGTAAAGGAATAAGAAAGACTCTAACCCTTGCAGTGGGGTCCCATTAAGATTAAATGATCGATTATTCAAAAGAAATCAAAAATTTAAATTAGAAACATGAAGTCGATACAATAACACCTTTTTATCTATTTATGAAATATCAAACTCAGTTATTGTAAAAAAAATTCAATTGGGATAAACATGACATTTTCACCATCAACTGAGAATTCAGATTTCATATCAAATCATAAACTCATCATTCTACTATGCTTATAATTTTGTATGCAGGTGTACACAACGTCTAAATTAGACTCATCAGTGGAGCTCCGATAAAAAAAGTTTGGAGGCCAAATCAAATACAAAGTTGTAGAGCTTTTAAAACCCAAAATTCCCAAAAGTTATGCCAAATACCATTAAGATTAACATATCAACACAAAAGTGCTGACTACTGGGCTGGTGATACCCCCAGGGACGAAACGTCTACCAGCAGAAGCATCAACCCAGTGGTTGTAAAAACTCTATCAAAGATACCTGGCTTATAATTTTGTATGCCACACACGTGTAATGTGTAATATTATAACATAAAATCAGTGCATTATTAATAATTATAAGGTGTACTCACCCTTTGACAATTAATGATAATAAGATTTCTATATGTGTCTGTACAGAGATGTGCCACCAACATACTATGTCTGATAATTCCTTCTGTCCAACTCTCTACATCTATATCTAAATCTTCTCGGTTTTCTGTAGACAGTGCTTCTAATATCTGAAATTTGTTTACATCAGTAATATAATTTTTATAATTATAGATTATCGTTGATCATCTCAATGAGATTGATTTTCTCGCTTGAGCCGGTACGGCGAAAGTGAGAAAAGCAATCAAGTTGAGATGACCAATGATAATCTGTTTATTGCTATTTTACCTATGATGACTTGTCAATTTCATGTCAATTTCATTAACAACACCACGTGCCCCCTTAGTTTCTAGCGATAATTTTTCATATCACTCGACTCCGCTGAGAAAGGAAATTATCAGTCAGCAAGATCAAAAAAAAATTTCGTAAAATAGCAATAATGAAAGATAACAAATGTGTCCTACTGTGGATTCATTATTAATTGTTGGGTACCAGTTTTCATGGATTTTGTGGGTTGAAGCTTACAACGAATTCAAATGTTCAATGAAGTATAAATTTCCTATAGGCTGGTATGGAACCTTTGCAACTCCACGAAATCAAGTATCTACGAAAAATACAATTCTTCTTCTATCCAAGAAAATTGGTACCAACGACAATTTTGAAAATCAAATGTCTTTATAAAACATACCTGATCAATTTTAGAAACAAAGTAGCCAGGTTGCTCTACATCTAAATAATCTTCTTCAGTAAATTTGTTTTCAATGGCCTCAACAATATCTCTTACTGCAGACAGAACTTGGTTTATCACATATGACTTGCTCACCTGTCAAGAAGTAAGCATTTAATTATAATCAAATGTTAAAATGTTAAAATAGTAAAAAGGAACCTTATTCAGGATATCAAATTAATATAAAGAACAAAATTCTAAAATATAAAGATTGGTTTGCCATTTGTTGACAGACTCATGAAATTAGGATTTACTCAAAAGATTTTGTCAGCATTTAAGGTCAAGGACTTTTTTCTGTTCAGCCAGTTCTTAAATAGAAACCTCAATTCACTCTTGGTAAAATAATAAAACAAAACATTTTTCTATCTACCTACCTAATGTTGAAAACTAGTTGGTAAAGAGAGAAAATATATGTTTAATAAGCCTTTCAAGTAATGCTTCATTTTTTGTCACGAGTATATAATTCCATTATATAGATTTAAATAAAATTGTATAACTGTATGTTTCTGTGAGAACAGAGAGAAATTTGCATTCATTCATTCAGTTGTCCTTCTTTCATTAGAGATTCATCCAGTTGTCCATCTTTCATTAGAGATTCATCCAGTTGTCCATCTTTCATTAGAGATATTTATTCAGATCGATTTTTTCAATTTAACCTTCTTAATACTGTTAATTCAGAAATTATTGTCACGTTTTTATTATTCCAAAGGGGATAAGTTTCGCAAAAATAAAAAATTTGCCTTTCAAATTTATATAGCATTTTTTGTACGCCCCATTTCCTGAAATCGCATAATTAATTGAACATTTTTGTCCGTTGTTCAACAATCGCAATACACCTTATCGCTATTTGTCAGCCATTACTGGACATCACAAAGGTTCCCGTAAAATTTTGACGTCACAATTGAAAATATCTGATGCCACAATGGAAAAGTGATTGTTGTATGACGTCAAAAGTTCAACCGGCGCAGATTTCCAAATAGCGATAAGGTGAATAATAAATGCACGTAATATTTTCTGAATTTCTAGAATAAAAGTTTTTTTTGACAGTATGTGACCCAGGGGTCTGCTTATTTCTGAAAATATACTGAACATAAGATTGTAATACTACTTACATGAGCCTGAGCATTGCTAGGATATTTTATACAACTTTGTAAAGCTACACTAATTGATGGAATGGATTTCTTCAATAAATTGAGTGCAGTAATTATTCTCTCCCTTTGTCTATCTTGACAAAGATCTTTTTGTCTCTTATTTGCTAAAGATGTTAGAATTGAAGTAGTATCTGTGAAACTCTGAAAATGAAACCAGTGTTTGCTTAAGATGTTAGAAGTGAAAGAGTATTCGTGAAACTCTGAAAGAAATACCAAGATGTTTGTTTGCTTGAGATGTTTGAATGTAAGTAGTATCTTTAAAACTCTGAAAGTAAAACCAAGGTATCTACAATATGGATTAAAAGATAATAAGGAAAGTAAATTTGACAAAATTCCTAAGTTTATTGATTCCTATTTTCTGCTTTCTTGTGGTCTTTAAGCATTATGACAAGACCTTCAATAAAATCCTTTTCAACACAGTGTTCTCCTTAGGAATTTTGGCAGCACAGTGGGAAGTGCCTGATATAGAGCATTTACAATGTGACATGATGTAACATGAATACTGTCATGTTGGTTATACATTTGTATTAAAACAAATTGAAAAAAAAATGAATTTTATACATATAAGTTAACAGAAATTGACATCAAGTTACTGTTATACATTTGCATTATAATGAGCATTGAAAATTAAAATGCATAAATAATTGAAATGGTGTACATTTGTAATTAATTTTTTTATTACCCACACCCCCCACCCCCATCTCCCATTTTTTTTTTAAGTGTAAGTATGTTGCACAGTGGTTATAACCATTTATGTTACATATGTCTGGTTTATTAATACCATTACCTTAAATCTAGATAACAAATCAGTCATATTATCAACATGACTAAGAAGTCCAACAGTTTCTGTGACAGTATGGGCTGCAGCCAGAATCTTTCTAACTTCATAATCATCAGACACCAATAACACCTACAAAATAGTGTCAAATATTAATTGTACATGTGCATGATGTGTACTTCATATTTACTGTTACACCTACAAAATAGTAACACATATAGTTTTTACATGTGTATGTCATATTTATTGTAACACCTACAAAATAAAGACAACTGTTGTTTTTACATTTGTATTTTACATTTCTAGTAACACCTACAGAACAGTGACAACAATTGTTTTCTATTGAGGGTTCATTTTTTTTTGCTTCAGTTAGCTAATATATTCTTGAGCTATTCTTTTTTTTTATCCTTTTGCTTTCATATAATATTAAAGTAATAAATACAAAAAAATAACTTTTTATTTTCCATTAATTGTGAAGCTGGCAAAAAATATTTATGTTATACTGGAATTCTTTTTTTTAAATTGTCTTCCAATTCCATTTTTGTATTTTGCATTTTGTGTAATTTTTTTTAGATAATTCATATTCTTCATGTTATTTCCATTCCTAATTAAAAACCAATGAATTTGCTGAAATACTTACAATTCCTTTCTCAGTTTATGAAAGTTGAGTGAATTTTTTAATAAGTTAACATAAGTTATGTTGTGCTGTTACACCACCGTCCCAGGTTAGGGGGAGGGTTGAGTGCTCACAAACATGTTTAACCCTGCAACATTTTTTATGTGCCTGTCCCAAGTCAGGAGCCAGTAGTTCTGTAGTTGTCGTTGGTTCATGTCTGTCATATTTGTTTTTTTTCATAAATTGTTTTGTTATAAATTAGGCCGTTTGTTTTCTCAATTGAATCGTTTCATATTTTTCATGTCGGGACCTTTTATAGCCGACTATACGCTATGGGTTTGTTAAAGCCGTACAGTTGCCTATAATTGCTTACTTCCACTTCATTTGAACTTTGGTGGATAGTTGTCTCATTGGCAATCATACCACATCTCCTTATTTTTATAACAATGTAATCTTATAATTTGCTTATAATAGTTCACAAGGTAATAACATCCTGCACGAAGACACTCACTCTACCAAAACACTTTTTAAGACAGACAGACAGATACCATAAACATACTAATGTATACACAGGTCAGAGTCTGAGCTTGTTTTGCTATATGATATAAAAACTAAATTGACGAAAAAATGTCATTTATTCAAAATCAGAAAATGCAAAAAATACATTTTGCAAATAAAACATTTGACATAAAAGTTCGTAATTAATATGAAATTATAATACATAATTAATACGAAATTACATCAACTAAAATCATATTGAATAAATGACAAAGAATAGCAAAGGTGGGGAGAAAAATCTGCCCCACTAATAAACATATTTACATGTATATACATATCTACTTCTTAAGATAAAATTAAGGGAGGTATGCCGGTAGGAATTTTTCACAAATTGTTTGATAAGAATTACTAGTCAAAAGCTGATGATTAAAGCAAGTGTAAACAGAGCACATATATAAGTGAACTCGTTCTGACCCAGCAAGATCATTAACCACACAAGATCATTGACCACGAAACCAACTAATATTTTATGGAGTACACCTTACTTTCATTGTTCCCTGAAGAACATTCTTTGAAGCAGTTATAACTCTACTCTTATTTTCTTTACTGGCTGATGCTGTAACTCTCTGTGATGCTATATATAAATCACTGCTTGATAAATCTAATATCTCACAAGCACTTTCCATTTGTCTTTTCAGCTCCTGTTGTAACATATAAGTAAATGTATTGAAAACATGTATAACAACTATAAGCTCAAATTGCTAAATTAAACCTTGCTGACCCTTTAGAGCAACTGAGTTGGTCCCTTGGTTTTAATCGGGTTCATCATCAATCTTTAGTTTTGTGGACTTTTGTTTGTCTTTTTGTTGTTTTTTTTCGGCTGTGGTGTTGTCTGTTTTTATTTGACTGCCATCTTGGTATCTAATCCATCTTTTTTCAATGGGTTTTGATGAAATTTTTGAAAATGATTGAAATTTGTTTTTGAAATAATGGTATTAAAAATTCTACATTCAACAATTCAATGACTGATACATGCAAATATTAACCTGAACAATTATTTTAAAAGTATTTGATTTTGCAACAGAATTTTAGCTGGCTGCCTTAAAGGAGGCAGAAAGTTAAATACAGGCTGAATATAATATTAAACCAAGAATTAGATATAAACAGATCATTAGATACTGTAAATTCAGAAATTATTGTGAGTTTTTTATTAATGAGAAAAATGCAACTTAATGATTATCGCAATAATAAGAACTCACATTCTGATATCTGATACATATATCTGTATGCAGATTTTCCTGAAATCACAACTGATCTCACATTTTTGTCCATTCTTCAAAAATCGCAATAATTTCTTAATTTACAGTATCAGATATTTGCTCAGGTTTGCTTATCTTTAGAATGTTAAGTAGATTTCAGCAATAAGTTGTAAAAAATATTTGAAGCCTACATCATCTGCAGTCTTGTTAGCTCTTTCTTTTCCTAGTGTCACAAGACGTTCAGCTGCCTGCATAACCACTTCAGCACATGGTCCCATATCAGTTTGTATGCCATCTGAATGGTCAAGTATGATCAACAATGAAATCTGAAAAAGCAAACATTTTGGAAATGTTTAGTGATATACATGTACATGTATATTATTATTAAAGTATCCAAAAGATAATTTCCTGCTGCTGCACACATAAGTATAAGAAATAAAGCCTGCAGAAGGTAATAAAATTAACAACACACGAGTTTCATTTGATATAGTCTACTCATTTATACAGTTTAAATCAAAATCACCTATTGTTGTGCAGGTATCTTTTGTCCAGTTAATCAAAACAACTCACTACAATTATTTACATAGGGGAACATCTAAAACATTTTTTCCAAACTTAATTTATTTTGGCACCTTCTGTGGGAATTTAATTTAATTTAATTCTCTAGTTCCTGCCATGCCTTAAAACTTTTCAAGGTGCACATGCAGTTTTGTCTGTACTCAGAGTTCAATGTGTGGTGTAAATACAGCCATATTAGCCTAAGGTTATGATGAACCTTAGAGTTTTAATATCCATTTTGTATCTTCTGCCTTTCTTGTACCTAGTTTTAGTGTTACAAGACAAACAAATCGATTTCCTGAAGTTAAATTGTACTTTTATTGTATAATTTAACTTATATAGGAAATAGATTTGTATGTCTTGTATGCCAATTCCTTGTTGAAAATGTAGAAAACTCAAATCAAAAGCAAAGATATCCCATTATATGTCAAATGGTTGATTATACCTGAATCCACCAACAAGTAATAGCTTTTCAAAAAAAGCTAGCCTTCTCTTAGCTGATGAAAGTGGAAAGTGTTCTCGCTTTGTAGATTAATTCATTCAGAAAAGCCTTGCATGTCAATCAACAAATTTTACCACACACGTTATGAAGCAGTATATCGTTTAATGTTATGTATCAAATAAGGTCCAACGGAATAATCCTTCAAATCACGGTTGTAAATGCTTCACATATTTGTCAAACAATTTATTCTGTCGTCATTAAATATTATAACCATGTTCAAGTTATCTTATGCTTTTCGTGTATAAAATGTGCGTAACAGTGAGCGACTGGATTGAATGTGAAACAATCATGTGTGTGTTGATGATGATGGAAGTGTTTAATGACCTTGACTGGCCTTTGTGTGTGTTTACAGGAGATTTGGCTATTTATAGATTACCTGTGTACCGATATGCATGATTGGTGACCAGGCAAAATCTAATTGCTAAAATAGAGAGTACAAATCCGATACTCTACGGGATTGACAGATATTTACTAGGTTTGGATTGTCCCAACCAATCAACGAACTTTAATTATTAACCTCTCAGTAATATCTTCCAATCTGGTAGTTAGAAGCATTCAGCCCGCAGACTGTCCATCGTTCAATTCTTAATAACGTCTTCGAGGAGACGTTAATTAATGGTTAATCCTTTATTCCTGACCAGTTAAAATTTTATAACAAAAATCTCTGTAAATTAATAATTAAAGTCTGTGGATTTTCTGCAAAAATCTTGGCTTTATTTGCTACAAAATCTCCATTTTCATTTTTCTTAATTGCAATAAAACAATAAATAATAATGTTTTGAACAAAGTTTCCCTTTGGTATATGTACAAAATGGCACATCTCTATTATTCACTATGGCATTGTTGTTTTGATCAGTTGATATGATGCATCAGATGATTGCATTTTGAAAATTTCATAATACACATGGCTACAGAAGGGGTCATAAACCTTAAAAGTGAAAGACATAGTTTTAATAATGTAAAATAATGATAAAGAAGAGAAAAGGGTTGAAGAAACAGAAGTGACTGATGTCCATAATTTTGCATTTCATTTGGGAAAATAAATCGTCTGCCACATCACAACATTTTTGTTAGCTAAATCACGCGGGGTTTTACATCTCACCTGTGACGCAATAGGTGCTAAAACTCGTTCTATTGATTTTGTTTGTACTAAATTCGACAAAAGTCCACAAGTAACTTCCATTTGAATTTAAAATTGTACAAAAACGAGCCGAAATTTTTGTTATCACTGTACAAACATTTTCAAAACAATCCTCGGATTTTTTTCTTCGTCTAAATGATAAAACCCGATAAAACAAGATGTGCACAAGGTAAGTACGCGGATCTGACCTAGGCACATATCTTCTTTAATCGAATTTGCGCTAAATGAAATTTGGTCTGCGTAAGAGAGACTTTAGTAACATTGCAATTTATTAAGATTAAGGAAAGATTTAAAAATTCAATAAAGAAAAGTTTATAATTGTAAGCGTTCTTTCATTCCGCCGTGTGTTTATTCCGGCCAACCATTATTTACTAGAGACTTGTATGTAAATAGTGTGAAAACCGTTGTTTATGTTTATGGTTGATTGGTATGTTTTTTACATAAATGAATGGGTTAAAATGAAAATAATTTTCAGGGAACCAGTTTAATTCATCTGAATTAATCCAGCGTTTTTGTTGGTGGATAAAAAACACTATGAATGTTCATCCTTCGGTTTAGGTACACTGGCGGAATCAAACATTCCTTAGATAAAAAAAAAAAAACAACAAAAACACACTAGTTTTTTGCGTCTATTTTTTACATAAATCACCTATGCAAGTTTTCGTCACTTCAAATACCTCCAAAAAATACCAAGCACTATTTTTTTCATTTCCCCTTTAAGAAAACCCTCTTCAGATTCTTACGGCGCGTGTTGGATATTTTACACTAAACCAGGATTAAAAAACCTAGTGCATTTTTGTTGGTAGATATAAAACACTTGGAATTTTCATCCTTCGGATAAGGTACACTGGCGGATACAAACCACTGTTATAATCATGCTCAAGTAAAACAAGGATGTGCATTACGGATCAATCAATCAATCAATCAATCAATCAATCAACCAATCAACCAACCAACCAACCAATCAACCAACCAATCGATCGATCAATCAATCCAATTAAAGGTTGCAATAATACGGATTCGAATGAGGTTGAAATATTGACTTGCAAGCCAATAATGCAGTAGCGATGATATTTGAATTTTTGACGAAATTGAACCAAACTGACTGCTAATAGCGAAATATCATTTCTATATTCCGCTTTTATAAATATTTAAAACAAAATATCTAATTCGTATAGGCAATGCATCTTATGTAATTATCATTGACAACTTAAATAATGATTCGTATTGCTTTCTTCAATTCTCACAGAACAAATGACCTTACACATTTAAACATGATGTTTTACGCATCAAACATCATGTCAAATCTGTGATAGGAAATTGTCATGGGTTATGTTACTATAAAAGAAAGAATCAATGTGACATCCGAGCCCTTACGACTTGTACAGGAGACACGGTAAGTTAATACGCACTTCTTCAAACAACACCCGTATCATGATTTTACTCATATTCTATTACCCTTTACTTTGTAAGTGGTCTAATAACTCTAAATAAATATGAGAATTTGGAATGAAGTAACATTATACTTGCCTATCTGTGGATGTAGATACACACAAATAAAAGAGTTGATGGAATTATAATATAATACAACGATGGACAGGCCTTATAGTAGGACCGCTTGCACTATCTATTATTCTTATCAATTTAAGATGATCTGAAAAGTGTTTTGTGATTTTTTGATAAATTGTATACCTTGCATGATTATCGTATAAGATATATTCTCGGATACATCCGACCATCGTATTTAAATTTCAAGCGAGTTTAAGACAGCTAGATTATGTACGATATTGTGTTTCATGTAGATTTTTTCTTAATTTTTTGGGGGAGGGTTTTTTTGGTTGTCTATGTTATCAATATAAAATAAGAACATTTGGTATGAATGCCGATGACACAACTATCCACTAGAGAACAAATTAAATTGGTTTTTTTTTATCTGACAAAATTCTTATCGTGAATCCTTTGTTATTCCAGTGGTCGTCATAATAGAGAAAATTAAATATTCACGAAATACAATCAACTTGTTAAGGGATCCTATGGAGCAAGCTTGCTTGGAACCTTCATTTTTTTATATTTTGAATAAATAAACGGTTATAAGCATATCGGGAATACTTCAATTAAAGACAAACCGGCGACTAGTGGTTTCTACTTTTGCTGACCTTTTAAAATTCACACTTTTGTTCCTATTGTGTTATCATAAATCAGGTCGTTGGCTTTAATTCTCGTTTGAATCGTTTAACATAATGCCATGTCGGGGCATTTTATAGATGACTTTGCGAAATAGTTTTTGCTTATTAACAATTAACAATTTTAGTTTTCCCCTTATAAAATTGGTCTAATTCAACCCCAATATTCGACTCAAATTTCAAGGTCTTCAGCATTTTATTAGAGGATCCCACCAATGAGAAAAGTTACATAACCTATTGGGGCCAATTGCGCCTGAACTGATGTTAAGGTAGTCTTAGTACTTGTAAATATTTTGTTTAAATTAAAATACTATAGATAAGTATAACGGCTTTTATTGAAAAGCGATCGTAATGGAAATTACACTAGTATGGGGATTGGTTTAAGTGTACAAACTGCATGCAATATATGTCCTTATTTAAGCGTCTGGACGGTAAGCAACCACCCATCAACCAATAAAATCAAAGTCTGTAATATTGTGACGTTTGATATGTTAAAAGTAATGTAAAAGCTCTAGTCCACACTATCATCAACTGCTAAAATAATATTAAGAATAATTTACATAATTTGATTTTTTTTTCAAGCAATTGGAAATATCCTCTCCCCCCCCCCTTTTTTTTCAAAATTAAATCTCCACTGTCAGGATGGGGATTAATGTAAGCAAGCTTGACGTGATTCATCCTTAGTTTATGAATTATATTTGTACTCCGGTAAATCAATTAGGCTACCGTTGCTGTAACGAGTACAGCGTGGATGCTGTTTTTTATTTGTCTAAGCGTTTCCAGAAAGTATAACGACTTAATGTTGTTGAGCTGATCTTCTGACCCTTTGGAGCGATTCGGGTTACTGATTGAACAAATATCGTATGTAGGTGTATGGTGTGCAATACATTAGTCTTGAAATCTAGTTCTGTTAATAAACAAGTGTTACTTGATTAAAGTGTAATCCAACAATAATACACGAGAGAACCATAAGAAAGAATATTGAAGGTTGTTTCATATAACAAAATGATGTATATTTAAATGTTTATTAAATAGAGTTAGGTTCCAAAATAAGCACACCTTTTAGTATACGAGGCTTCCGTGCCCAACTTCAGCATCAAACGTTAACTTAACTGTGGTAACTTTATCGTAAAGAAATGATCGAATCCTTGAATCTGTTTATTTATGGCCTGGTTTTTTGTAGGCTTTGCATACTTTACTTAAATACTCCCCAACTCGTAAAAGCAAATAACTGGTGTAAACATTTAATATCATTTAGTATACTTAGTTATTTACTTTTACGGGTTGTGGGTATTCAAGTAAAGAATGCAAAGCTTACTATAAACCTGGCCATAAATAAACAGATTCAAGGATTCGATCATTTCTTTACGGGATTTTAAAGTTTTATATTAAAATTCGCAAAGGCAGTGCAATGACATCCTCATAATACGAGGCATGTCTCAACGGACACTTTCAAGGGATCCTACACTAGAAACAACCCTTTAATTATGCATCAAGTTGACACAGTTAATTAGATTAGATGTAAACGAAATCATATTGTGTTTTTTTTGCACAACCAATATCTTTGTTTTATTTGTACACTTTATCGTAGATATCAAAGAACACTTTTTTAAGAGTAATTTCATAAAAAAAAACCGACCTTTTCTTTGATAGTAACAAACGTTTTACGACACAGAAGTAATAATAGTATGATCTGACAGATGTACGTTAGAATTTCATAAATGACAATATCCGCAAATAAGTTCATCGACAGGTTGTATGGATAGACCTATGGGAACCAATTGTGCTCCTTAAATAGAAGACTTGCTCCTGTATTGTTTTGAATCACAGTTTATGGCCAAACTCAGTAAACAACCGTCAAAATTCGATTTCATTGATGAATCTAGTACACTATCCATTACCTTGAGGATATTTTAGCTTTAAATAATAAAGAATTCTCTAATTATACTGCGGACATTTACCCAAGGGAATAGCTGACGTCAAATAATCTAATGAAAACAGCAATACTTGGCTTTTTCTAGATCTGGATATTTCAGTTCATACGGGAAACCCTTTTCACAAATGTACGTTTAAGAGACGATTTTTCGTTCCTTTTGTTAGTTTACCTCTTTGGACGCTGATGTTCCTTTGATCTCAAAAGGTGTAAATATTTTCCAAGTCATACACTATTCCTTCGTCTGTAGTGACGTTTAATATTTCGATGAACGCGATCTACGTATAACTATAGTGAATTATTAAGTCCGTAATTTTGTTACCACAAATTACTTAAAACTTTAACTTAATTCTTTCGGAGATGCAAAGATTTTGTTTGGAAATTTGACGGTACCTGTAAATGTCTTATAATAACGGGACGTCACATTCTAATTTTTACGGTGATGCTGTTTATAGAGCCCGTAGAATTAGATACGAACTATGTAAGCTGATTGATCCTTTGAATAAACTTATCCTTAAAGTTTACCAATGTAACACTATAGTAAGATCTTTGAATATTGTTTGTATCGGTACTAACATTGATTTTGTTTTCTATAGATTAAAACATAACTAAATATAAGTTATGAAAACTTATGGTCCAATATCCTGTCGATAAATTGTACTTATATTTTTGCTTGGAACAAGGTCATGCCTTTCTCTGACGTTTTTGATGTCTTTCCACTAAATCCGTTGTATGTGTACTGGTTTATATTTTAGTGTGGAAGACCATGATTTATTAATTAAATGTGATTGGTTTTGAACTATAACTTTCAGTAACTGCGAATATTCGTAGAACGTTATGCTTTGTGTCGCTTTTCCTTTTGTTAGTTGTTTTTGTGTTAGGAGAGCTTTAGTGGTGTCGTCTATTGCAGTATGTCATATTTCGTTTTTTTTTATTGTGTTATCATACATCAGGTCGTTGACTTTCTCGTTTGAATCGTTTAACATAATGCCATGTCGGAGCATTTTATAGATGACCCTGTGATATAGTTTTTGCTAATTGTTGAAGGCCGTAAGGTGACATATAAAGCTGCTTACATTTACGTCATTTGGACTCTGGCTGATGGTTGTGTCATTGGAAATCATACCACATTTATCAAATGTATTTGAATTCCTTTTAATCGAGGGCTTTACATACTTTACTTCATTCAAGTCTATTCAAGTCTAGTTATTTTATCTATAAAAGAATTGGGTTGGGTGAAATATTCTTGACATATGTACTATGAGAGTCAAGCAGTTTTGACAATACAAATGCTTCTTTAAGTAGAAGATTTATATTTACAGACAAAAATGAAATGTTGCAGATGCATTCTTCCTGTACTACTCGGACTATATTTTATGCTGATATTCTGGTTCCCAGCATAAATTTACAGAAATGTATTCCAATCTTTTCAAATGGAGTTTTATCAATTAATGAAATTTGATCTAACGTTTACTTACTTTGATCAGCTCTTTTTTTAATCTCTGTAGCATGCTAAGTAGTAATCCTTCAAGAGATCTCTGAATTATACATTAAAACTGGCTGTACTAATTGATTAAAGGGATTATTAAAAGCTTCTTAAAAGCTTCTATGAGAAGACTTCCCAAATGAAGCTACCTTGGCTTTAATTGAAAACAAAATTTTTCTGTGTTTTTTTTTTTTTGTTAAGTCTTCTTAACTTGAATTTCATTATATTTTTTTACTGGCCGTTTTTTGCGTCGATTTATACGCATGATTCCATTCACTTTAATTTATTAGTTATATAATAAAACAGTCTCTTTTATAAGCCTTTATGAGTTCTACGTTTATAGCCGACTAAACGGTATGGGGTTTTCTCATTGTTGAAGGTCGTAGGGTTGCCTATAATTGCTTACATCCACATTAAAACTGTGTTCGATAGTTGTCTCATTGGCAGTCACACCGCATCTCCTTATTTTCATATTGATGGAACCGATATTGACATCGGCTACAATCCCGATTTTCAGGTTCATGTTTTCCTGTCTCTACAAAAGACTATGAATGTATTAGTTTTTTTGATAAAAAAACTTCCGTATTGTAAACAGAAAAGCATAAAGCTTAAATATAACTCACACTCAAAGAAAGTACATTGTAAAGGTAATTAGTCAACGTGTAATATAATTCATGTATTTTATTATTTCAAGCATTCCAAATGTACATGTTATTAAATTGTTAACAAGTATTACGTGATAGTCAAACCCTAACATAAAACAAGTAAAACAGAAATAAAACACGTTAACTACGAAGTACAAGAATTATTCCCATGCTTGAACTAGTGAAACTTGTTAAATAAATCAAAAGGTTAATAATTTTATTTTTATGATATAAGGTTTGAATCACTTCCGTTCCAGAACACTTTTTTTTTACGATGGATTGAATTAGAACATATTTCCTAAAACTAAAGTACAACGGCTGTCTTGACAGGTAGACAGAGAAAAAAATATCTTTTCGTGAACGAGAATACACTAATCAGACTTGAATGACATATGTAAATTAAAATTGAATTTACGAAGTATAGATAAAAAGAATGCCTTCGTTAAGTAGCCACAAGATGCAAGATGCAAGAGTGTAGCCTTATTGTCTTATACAAATGTTCTCGTTTGTAAGTCTTGGTCCCTGTTGAAAATATTAAACATGTTAAAGTCTTTGCTGAGGATGTAAAGTTTAGTTCTTCAAATATAATACTAATAGTCTATAGGTGAAGAATTACACTGGAGTCTTAATTAAAATGTGAATTTACCACTGGGTATGCTGTAACGTGTTAGATATAAAGTGTAGCGATAATGCTTAATTTAACAATGTACTATACATCATAAGTTGTTTGACCATTACGGAATATCTGTGACATAGGTGTTCAATTTGTGTAGCTACAATCTCGCCCTCTTTTTATTGTAACCGAATTCTAAACAAATACAACTTATATATTTACTTTTGTCATGAGAAACAAAACAGTGTCATTAGTTGAGCAGAAACTGTTCTTTCCACTTCAGTTTACCCCATTTTTAGTAGGGTTCAATAGTTCGTTTTCGGAGTAATATTTGTGGACTATATTGTTTGTCATTTCGTATTTTTCCTGCTTGCCCTCGTGTTATCTACATGACGTATGATTGTTTACTTCTCTTTTGATCTTTTCTTATTTTTTCCACATTTTCAGTGCTAGACGGTGCATCTCCAGCGCTGAACATTAAATACATATGTGGAGCATGTCTTAAAATTTCAGCGCTAGTCTTTATATCTCCAGAGCAAAATTATACACAGAACAAGAACCTTTATAATTTTCGTGAAATCACATATGTTCAGAAAGAATTCGATGGGAAGTTACAACCTTCTTTAAATTGTGTTTCATGTATAGCCATTACGTATCATTTTTATTCTAATTCTAAATAACGTTTATATTTACTTTTATTTTACACTCAGAATACTTAAATCGTCAAATTTCGTTTTAGCGCCATCATGGGGCCCGGTGTAAAGCTTATGTTATGTATTGTTTTATACTGTTACTTCTATTTGGGACATGTAACCGCATCACGAGAGAAACGTCAAATATCGCAAGCAGTCATCGGAGCATACTTAAAACAGGCACTAGCGGAGGCTAATCAAGAACTTGCGCATATGAAGGCTATTGATAAAATGATGGTAGATCAGGGTAAATATTGAACTAAAACAAGTGTGGACACAGCATTTATTCATACCATATAGCTTAAACATGTATAGACTTCTTTCTATATTTGCTGTTATAAAAGATTGCACCTTCATTTAAAACTGTAGTATTTTGAATTAAGCCTTCATCATGGCATCCACAACTATAGTATTATTCCACAGATGTCCTCATCAAGGTCAAATTTTAGCAATTTTTTCGATGGCAAAAATTTTTCTAAAATTAAAAAATGTAGAGCATGTTGAAAATTAACCGAAATTGACAAAATCATGCATTTATCTCTACTTTCTTCATCTTCAAATCTTTAAATAATTGCGAACTCATATAATGCAAATATAGTTCTCAAAATAATTTCTAAAATTCTTGTTTCTCAAAAAAAAATTAAAAGAGGTTGTTGCCATATTAATTTTCGTTTAATATTTATATAACTAGTACAGGGTCACTGGGATTTTGTTTTCGTGTTTAAATCATTCAATGTGGAATTCTTGGTGATAAAAGTACTAGAAAAAGTCGGGTCCAAATCGTATGCAAAGTCTTGTAATGAATTGTACATCGTTCATTCTTCAGTCAGTGAACTCTAAAGAAGAACACATAATTTGATTAGTCACTTTATATGAATAAAATAAGACAGTAACTCAATGACACAAATAACCAGCAGACGAACATATTAAATATTCTTGCTTATACATAGTTTCAATAGAGCTAATTTCATAATGCTTGTGGAGTAAGACTTTGGTTGGCTTACTTGCTTTGTTTGTATGAACGTTTGCATACTCTGCAAGCCGATGATTAGGAAATTGGCTCTAACTTTTATAACTGAATAATATTTCTCTTTGGTACTGTTCATCTATAGGTGTCGATGCACCAGCAGGAAGTAGATCTTACTCTTGGCATCTTGGTCGTTTCTTGTATACTAAAGATGCAAAGAAAGTAAGGATATTGTCAGATAAAGCCTGGGTTACAGTCAGGACAACAAAAAAACTAGTCGAAAGGTAATTAATCAAAACTTAGAAAACATGAGAACAGTATGTTTAACTCGGAGTCGATGGAATAACTTGTTACAATAATTTGTCATTTTTAGTCAATTAGCCCATTTTACTAGTAAATATAAATTCAATTCTCTATAGTAATAACTCAATAATCCCAGGATGAAACATTTATTTAGACAAAATCGAAAAGGCGATTGGGCAAGTGCCAATACAATTGTTTAGGAAAGGGTATCTTATACGGCAAAGAATATTTAAAACTTTAGAAATGAAGTATTTGTTTGCCAATTTCAATGGAAATTCTACAAAATATGTGTGTTCAACAGGACTGGCTGGACGTTAGCAGAAGTGCAGATCAACCCATACATTGTCAATGAATGGAGATTACAAGTTGCTGCATCATGCCCTTTCATGGAGCCAAAGTGTAACATATACACCAGATACAGAACTGCAGATGGTGCATGCAATAACTTAATGGATCCAAGTCTCGGAGCTGCGTTAACTCGCCAGAGAAGAATGATGGATAACGCATACGAAGATGGTAAACGATAAAAATATTTCAATACAAATAGATTTAAAAAAAACCCACTACACTGCTCTTTTAAGAATGAGATATGGTGCTACAGTGAGATGTATATTCAAATTATAGGTGACAATTGTTATATCATCACCCTCCTTCATGCAAAGGTGTTAAGTCATAGAAAGATCGAAGACTCGTTTGCTAATCCTATCTTCCGTATTTATTTTATAACAATCCTGAACTTACCGCTATACTCAATTGAATTATAAGAAATTTTTTGAATGTTCTATCTACAGGTATTGATTCTCCAAGGATACACTCGGTTCTTGGTGGCTACCTGCCTAGTCCTAGAGTTATAAGTAATGTCATGCACAAAAGTGACTGTTGTCCCCAGTTCAGTGACCGCCTAGCCGTAGCAGTTATGCAGTTCGGACAGTTTATAGAACATGACGTCATATCTACCCCAATGATTACAGGTATATGTAAATAATGTGCCAACTAATGGAGAACATCAATGAACAACACATGGTCCAGATGGCCTTAATTGGTACAGACACAACATAAAATGGTGTTAAACCAGTTTTGTGCTTGGACAAACGTCCCTCTTTGCATGTCTAGATCATAAGAATATCGTACAAGTAAAACACACATTAAAAAACTGAACAGAGGAGGACAAACATTTTTTAACTGTATTAGTAAGTATAACACATTTGTAGCTCTTGCTACTGAAAGTTGTAAAACATTTCCCTTTTCAATGTTTTAGTACTATTTACTACTTTAAAAGGAGAGAGGGTCTTTTATTTACAAAAACAAGACATTTACAGACAAGATGCTGATAACGAATGAACATCTTAAGTAACAAAAAGTTTGTTGTATTGGCATAACCCTGTAAAAGAAACAGGTAACAAGGAAAGTACTTGGTGGTGTTATATTGACCTACATTTGTAGTTCATACTTACGACAGTGGAGAGCCTAATTTTAACCAAAAGAATCCAGATAGTCCTCGAGCAAGGAGGTTATATGAGAACCTTCTCATATAACCTCCTTGGATTAACTAAGTTATTTTGTTCTATTTCAGGATATGAAGGAGCTGATATTCAGTGTTGTGATACACCACCACACATTACTGCCCAAAGGTAAGTTGTTGATATTCAGTACTGTGATACACCACCACACATTACTGCCCAAAGGTAAGTTGTTGATATTCAGTACTGTGATACACCACCACACATTACTGCCCAAAGGTAAGTTGTTGATATTCAGTACTGTGATACACCACCACACATTACTTCCCAAAGGTAAGTTGTTGATATTCAGTGCTGTGATACACCACCACACGTTACTGCCCAAAGGTAAGTTGTTGATATTCAGTACTGTGATACACCACCACACATTACTGCCCAAAGGTAAGTTGTTGATATTCAGTACTGTGATACACCACCACAAATTACTGCCCAAAGGTAAATTGTTGATATTTGGTGTTGTGATACACCACCACACATTACTGCCCAAAGGTAAGTTGTTGATATTCGGTGCTGTGATACACCAACACACATTACTTCCCAAAGGTCCGTTGATGATATTCAGTGCTGTGATACACCACCACACATTACTGCCCAAAGGTAAGTTGATGATATTCAGTGCTGTGATACACCACCACACATTACTGCCCAAAGGTAAGTTGTTGATATTCAGTGTTGTGATACACCACCACACATAACTGCCCAAAAGGTAAGTTGTTGATATTCAGTGTTGTGATACACCACCACACATTACTGCCTAAAGGTAAGTTGTTGAAACATCTAGCCTGGTATCTTGGCCAAACCTCTTCTTCGCGTGAGCTAGGATATCAGGCTATGGAATATCTCATATTCGCTAAAGTGTGTTTATGCGTGCATTATTTAATGTTTTTTTAAAGTTGCTAAGATATTGTGAAGTAAGCAAATAATTAAATTTATTTCATTTGTAGGGCAGCCTGTCTTCCCATTGCTATCCCACCCAATGATGAACGATTCAAGATCAAGTGTATGAATTTTGTCAGAGCGACACCCGGACTAAAGAAGAACTGTGACATGGGTTTGTCTTATTTTCATAATGGGACCAAGGGAGCAATAAAAAAATGCTCAGTCGAATAAAAAGAGATCAAAACGTAAAAAAGGCAAAGACACATTACAGTCCACATAATGTATACTACACAAAAACTAAAAATTAAGTAACACGAACCCCACAAAAAAAGCAAGAGTGAATTTTAACTCGTGTTCTCAGGAAGGGTAAGCATTTCCTGCGCCACTAGTGACATATACTGTGTTACTCCTGTTACTAGTAATATATGTTGAAATATTTTAACTTAAGATTGTACTTACATATTTGCAAGATATTAACATACACTTCACTGCTGTCTTATGTGAACAAATGCAAAAAAGACAGCGACGCCCAAAATTAGGTTCAATATATGTGTGTTGTGCTCATTGTTGAAGGACGTAAGCTCTTGTGGAAAGTTGTCTCATTGGCAATCATACCACATTTTCTTCTTTTCATATAGAGCTGCCTCAGTACAGTCATCAGTGGTCGATAAGCGTCTAAACGGTTTAACAAACTCTTATAATCTTACTTCTATAGTCAAGACGATTTGTGACGGTTTAATAAACTCTTATAATCTTACTTCTATAGTCAAGACGATTTGTAAAATTCTTTCAACTGCAAGGAATAGAAAAATCGAGGATATTAAAACAAAATTCCACAAATAAACTAAGACACAGAGAGAACAAAACGCTAGCTTAATCTATAGCTACGGACAGAATTTTCTGAAGCGCAAATAATTGTTAAAACACACAACATGTCTCATAAAAAAATCAGTACTACTCGGAATAATATCAACATAAAAAAGACCTAGACAAAAGCCGTATAAATCTGAACTAATCACATTGGCACTTATTTACCGGTGATATATCGAAATACAAGAATCAGAGTGAAAATGGTGTCCAGTTTTCCTCTCTAGAAATTCAATTTTCGAACACATGTTTTGTAACAACTTTGCATTTTGTACAGGAATAAGGTCACCATTGAATCAAGCTTCAGCATATTTAGATTCATCACAGATCTACGGTACAGACACAGAAGAACAACACAGATTACGTTCAGGATTTGGAGGTTTGAGAATATTGTTTGTTTGTCCTTCCAAAATAAGCAAGGCAGTACAATGTTGAAATATGCTTCGAAACTCCACATAATTTGATATTGTGTTTTTCAATATGCAACAACCTATCGTTTAATTTACGATTTGTGGCGTCCTTTCCGTAAAGTCTATATGTGTAGCGTCCTATCTGGGTTAAAAATAAAATAAAAAATGGAATAGAAGTCATTTAGTTGATTTTCATAGTAAACTAAACAGGTAAACTGTATAATCGATGTCCAGTGTCAAATATTTCATGCATACTAGTATTCAGGTGGAAATCAAAAATAAAAACAACAATAGATCGATTTGATATGATCTATATTGTTGGTCAACCAGAATACAAACCTAAATTTTTTTACTGTCACTGGTATGCTAGAAACACTCATCAACGAACTCCTCATACGTTAGAGAAAATTTTCTTTTATGTGCATGGAGCGTGGAACACTTCTATGGCGACACAAACGATTTAACGCCCTCTTTTCCGATTAGAAGGGGCTCTTTATGTATCCATACATTCAGCACAGCTATATAAACGCCTTCTCTCACAACGGTTCTTACAAAACGATGGAAAAGCCGAAGTTACCATATATTTAACCAAGAAGTCCCACCGAAAGGGTGATATACTTTTAGACATTATCATTTGATTTGGTATTTAAGGTTCTCAGTTGTTTCTCTTTATTTCTGTCATATTTTCTGAAATAAACTAAAATGTTATTACAAAACTGTCCATTCGAGGATAGAGTCTTGAAATTCATTGTAATGGACATTTTTGTTTAAATTTTATGGAGGAAAAGTGGTGATGATAGTTTTTTCTACAAAATTCTACTTCTGTTTTGGTGATCAATCAGTTATCGAAAACTTGACAAATTGCAACATATATAGAAAGTAGAAGTTTTTTTATGTAACTAAGACAATTTAAATCCATCTTTTTGTTTTCAGGTTTGATGAACATTACCGTATTGGGACTTTTGCCAGCAACAAGTAATGACCACTGTATAAAAGAAATGAACGGAGACTACTGTATGGATTCGGGTGAGTAAATTTTACTGTTGTGGATAAACGCATTCATAAATAACTAGTAATGTTAGTAGGTGAGGTTACTGTGTAAATGATGGAACTATACTCGTCTGTAGAGTCGATTTTGATTGGACAACGTAAATTTTTTTGAAGAGTTAGATTCATGGTAAACTGACCTAAATGCTCTATGCACTCGCATATGACTTTAGATACACGTAATATGCTTGATTTAACAATAGCATTCGAATAGGAGTAACGGTTATGCACTTTGATAATTGCCAATGTCAATTATATATTTTACAATCGCAAGTATAATTTTCATGGTCTGCTAATGCCTCCCTAAAAACTCAATTTTCGACATTAAGATCAGCGACAATAGAACAAACGACTTCTAAGGACTGATACGTCTGTGTGATGTTGTAAAGTATCCATGCAAACAGGGCCTAAAATTCCTTACAAGAACATGAAGAATGCTACAAGTTAACTAATTTAGTCTCGCTTATGTTATATGTTACAAGGTGAGTAAATTTAGTTGATATAATGAAAAAATAACTGAAACAACATTATACTATACCTATGGTTTTTCTCTTTATCGCATGGAAGGCATTTCCAGATTGAATACTGGATACATGTATATTTAATTTTAAATTATCATTTAAGGTGACTTTAGAGTAAACCATGTACCAGGCTTGACAGTTATGCACACCATATTTGTACGTGAACACAACAGACTTGCCACGACACTTTCACTACTAAACGTCCACTGGGATGACGAAACCATATTCCAAGAAACTAGGAAGATTATTAACGCCGTACAGCAACATTTAGTTTATAATGAGCTTTTGCCAACAATTTTGAATCACGAATACATGACAAGGTATATACAAGAATCAAGATATATCATGGTTGACCATACCCTGTCATCGTGTGGCATAATCTTTTACTTTAGAAGAAAGTCCCCATGGTCCCGTATTATTTTCAAATATTGAGAAATAAATAGGAATGAGTTATATACTAATTCCCGTAGGAATAAGCTATATACTAATTCCCATAGTAAAGATCTTTATACAACTAAATAGAGCAGTTTATAGAAATATTTAATTACTTAGGCTTCTCCCGTGCTAGTATATGGTTTCTGTACAGGAGAGCATTTGTTCGGTTGTAACGGATGTATACATAAGCTTGTGGTGTCCACATAGACTGTGGATTGATTGATTGTAGGGTGGTTAACGTTCAGTTGCAAATATTTCATACATGTTCAGGACGAAAACAAATTAATAATAAATAAAATATGTAGGTCCTGTAATAGAGGCCATCCGAGATGAGGTCGTGGAAATTTTGACTGCCACCGGAAAATGAGGGAATATTGGATAGTGACAGAAATTTCGCCTTGCATGCAACAGGCCACCTTCGGACCCCTCAAAGAATTATTGCAAGGGTTCTTTGCGTGCCCCACTTTGGCAAGGGTTTTACCGCCGGTCGGAAGAAGACCAACAGTGACCATATTTCTATTCCCCCAGTCACCCTTTGTGGTATATTGACTGTGGAATTATATCCAAAGCTTCTAATGAGAGGAATTGTACCCAAAGCCCCTGATAATCGATTATCACGGTATGTTCACTACTGATCTGAACAACTCTTTATTGAACTTTTTAACCATTTGCAGTAAAAGTTTCAGGTCAATTCACCTGGCCCGTGTACTTTTGGTTAATGATTAACTTGGTTTGGTCTTTAATATGCATGTTATGAATTACATATGCACGTTGAGCAACAGACCAACAAATACTAGTAAAGAACACGCGTTGTTTGTGAATAACTCAGTGTCACTTAAAGCTAGTTATCTGAAAATAAGTTTGCATATAGTTATTGGTTTGTTTATTATCTTCTAGCAAATTTTGGTAATTTCAAACCATTAACACAAAATCATTATTTAAATAAACACTCGCATATATATTGTTGTCTTTCCTCTTTCTATAGATATGGACTATATTCTAAAGCTCAGGGTTGTGAAGATGTTTATGATATGAATGTTCAAACAGATATTATGATGGGTTTCTCTGGTGCCGCAATGAGATTCCCGCATACCAGGATTCCAAATGTTCAGGCAATGGTCGACAAACAGTTTGCAAGACGAATGGACGCACCAATTTCTGATACTTTTGACAAACCAAAGTTTATCTTACAAAACATGGGACAAGCCTTGAATGATTTTGCTAGATGGCTAACAACGTTTCCACAAATGAAGGACGATCGGTTTGTTGAATCTGGTGTAAGAGATTTCTTGTTCATGGACGAGAGTGGAAGAAGTTTTGACTTGATATCGTTAAATATCCAGCGTGCACGAGAACAAGGAATTCCTCCATACAACGAATGGCGAAAGTTATGTGGGTTGCCACCTGCTAATTACTTCTACGCTGGCCAGGGTGGCTTGGTAGATCACAAACCTGATGTTGTTCATTTATTGTCAACTGTTTATAGGTATGCATATATGTACATATGGTGCTTAATAATTTGCTTAAGTCAATGAACTGTCGTATTGAAACGTAAACACGCAAAGAGTTTTAATATTAAAAAGAGAGAAATAAAATTTAACAAAATTTATGTTTCAAAGGTATACTGAAAGGTAAGAATCTTGCAAACCATTTCCGATTCCCTTAGAATGCAATTGTCTATTTTTCAAATAATTATTTTATCCCCGCTCCGAAGGAGAGGATATGCTGGTTAATCTATGTTCGTCGCTCAGTTCGTATGTCATTCCATCCTTCCGACTTGTGAATTTTTCGTCGCATTTTTCAAGGGACTACAAATCAGAACTTCTCGAAATTTGGCATCAAAACTTTTAACATTAGCAACTTATTGGATTTTGTTTACTGTGATAAGATTTCGGATACATAAATCGATATAATAAAAATCATGATCGGATTTTAATACATCATCTTTTTTGTTTTAGACATTGCGATGACATAGATTTATTTACTGGAGGTTTAACAGAGACGCCACTTCCAGGAAGTCCCATTGGTCCTGTATTTTCTTGTATAATAGCAACACAATTTGCAAACCTTAAACAAGGTGACCGTTTTTGGTACGAAAGAGATGCCCCCATTACAGGATTTACTCCAGGTATGTGTTATAGGGCGTTATGAAAGTTTTACATCAAAATAGCAAATCTTTAGATGTCACATAGTAAAACAATTTGATTTCTCATTCATGTGCATACACAAAAATTTTGTTTTATGAATATGAAATCTGTATGGTTCGTTTTAAAGTTGGAAAATTCATTACTCAATTTATGCAGATCGAATTTTCCAATTTAAATAATTTCATTATGTAGTGTATCCATTGAAATAGTTTCGCATGACTACTCAATGTGTTATATGTTTCATTTCTTCATATCGTAATCATACCAATTGATAAAAATTTGAATAAAAAACAGATTCTATTAATATAATCATGAAGAAAGAAATGCCAAGCAACTTTGGTATGACATTGATGATATTATGTACATGTATATATATATGAGTCGATTGCATTCCTTGGGCAGTTTTCTGGGTCTGTTAAATAGTGGACATAAGCGCATTAAAAGAATGATATATTACCGTCGGTTCCAAACAAAAATGTCTCATTCCACTGTTTAACACGCACATACAACTACCAAACATGCATTTAATTCTTAAGTAAAAGAATTACACAAGTACATGTATATAAAGCAAAGTCATAAGTATATTACCGACAGTTAACGTTGTTTGGATGATCAACTAAAGAAAAATAAATTATTTAGAACTTCGAAAAATCTTGAATATTTTAGGAGATCGAAAAATAGCACCCATTCAAAATTAGTATTTTCAGTGTTAACATCTTCATCTGAATCATTATATGTTATAAGGTAAAAGACACCGGTCTTTAAATAGATTCCATAATAACTTAGTTTGATGTCTTATTGAATTAAATGATAAGTCTGCTTCTTATTTGAAAACAAGATATTTTCAATTTTATTCATTCATTTATGGAATTTCACTATTTAAATAATTTTGCCATCGTGTAATATTTATTGTTTTCCCCACATGACTTTTTTTAACTAATTGAAACCATATAAAATGTGTCTGTAAAATGGCGCATTGCATGTAAATATAATGCAACAGATGCAAGGTTAAACAACAAAGTGAGAAAAGGCTATCAACATATACAAGTTAGAAAGATCCATTATATCATAATGGCACACATATACAGAAATTGGCACGGTATACTATTGTTACCAAGATTTAATTAGATTTAGTAATCTAACATAATCAGCAGATATTTCCAATATTCCATCATAACAAATTGGCTGGTTTCTACAAGACAAGAAATATATATTAGCACATCATATTTATCTTATGTACTTTTGTGTAAAAAAAAGATATATAGAAATTATTAGATATTATCATGATGGCACCTTATTATACAATTTCTGTAGGTGACCATTTTTAAGTATTTGAAACCAAAATTTACTTTAAAGGTTCGGATATTTAGTTCTTTCAGACATAAGGCGCTTACGAGTTTGCAGTATTGTACATACTTTCTATTTATGACGACTGTAGATTGACCTCTAGATTTCTTTTGTTATTTCTGTTGTTGGGTTCCTGTCTCATCGACATATACCCATCATCTCGCTTTATTCTGTGAAGTAACCAGTTAATATTGTTAAACAAGACATCGCACATTCCGTTGTTAATTTTACTATTAGGTCAGGTAAACATATATAAACAACAAAATAAACCATCACAATTGTTTCAGATAGATCATAACAAAGTCCAACACTCAGATAGGACTTTTTTCGTATTGACCTTCACTATGCAAGCTTACAGCCCGATAATTGGAAAGTCGAAAAATGAATATTCAAATCTATCTAAAGCATATTCTGCCCAATGGAGTTGGAACTTAGTTTTGCCAAGAATTGCTAAGGGTTGGAACTTAGTTTTGCCAAAAATTGCAAAGGGTTGGAACTTTGCAAAGAAATTACAAACGTAAACTGGCAATAGTTATGTATAATTTTCAATAAACTCTTGTGGCAAGCTTAAATAACAAAGTTGAAAGCTTGTTTTGTATTCTTTTTAAATAACCAATATAAACATATACATGTATACTAAATGTTGTGTTTTTTTTTAATATTATCGTAACTGCATTCTTATTTTCACCATAGCTCAAGTTGATCAAATAAAGAAAACAAAGCTTTCATTGGTCTTGTGTAAGAACTTAGACTTCCCGTTCATCCAAAGTCAAGCTTTGCTTCTACCAAGTCAACAGTAAGTAGTATAAACTTTTCTTCCATACCAGTGTGGTTAGTTAATTAAGATAACTACGCGAACGAGTAGTATAAAAAAAAAGAAAACAACACTTCTATAAGTTTTATGCGCCCGACACGCTATTCTGGATTTACCTTCATCAGGAACGCTCAAAGCCGAATATTTGAAAGCCACTGTATAAGAACCGAAACAGTTGAAGAGCTATATGAGCCCAACGGACCTAGAAATAATAGCCAAATCCATCTAAGGTCAACTTTGCCTGAGTAAAGTTATACTTCGTCTTTTAACAAATGGTTACTAGAAAATAACAGGAATGAAAAGCAAAATTGTTTATGACATTATCTCAAAATGAACAAAATAATGACTTACAATCTATAGATATGCCGCATTAGAGATTCGGAAGGATTCCATACCTGCATCTTTGAGTAGGAAATGAAAGGTATTCTCTAGAAGTAAGACTGCTAGAGCCGCGTAAAGGTTATTTGTAAAATATATAGACCTAACAAATTTTATAACAGACATGTTGACTATAGGCAAGGTCCGATGACATCTGTCGATTTTTTTTACAGAAACCCTAGAGTGAGATGTGACTCCATGCCTGAGATTGATTTAGACTTCTGGAAAGTGTCAGCTTAAAAAAATAATGATGTAGAATACTTAGCAAAATGTGTCAGAAGGACAGACTATTATGTTTTTAACTTTAACCTATTGTTAATGATATGTAAATATTCATCATGTATACTTTCATTAAAAATATATTCCGGGATATGGCTATTATATCTATGTTCCAATGTTTTCTGAAAATTCTATGAAAGCACTTCAAAAATTGTCAGCTTTTAGAATTAGTTCTTTGTTTTTAATTATTCTGCAGCTGAAATCTACTTTGAACTCAAGGCTAGTGACATACATACTTTGAAATCAAGGCTAGTTACATATATACTTGGACATTAAGGCTAGTTACATATATACTTTGACATTGAGGCTAGTTACATATATACTTTGACATTAAGGCTAGCTACATACATACTTTGACATTAAGGCTAGTGACATATATACTTCGACATTAAGGCTAGTGACATATATACTTTGACATTAAGGCTACTGACATATATACTTGGACATTAAGGCTAGTGACATATATACTTTGGCATTAAGGCTAGTGACATATATACTTGGACATTTAGGCTAGTGACATGTATACTTGGACATTAAGGCTAGTGACATATATACTTGGACATTAAGGCTAGTGACATATATACTTGGACATTAAGGCTAGTGACATATATACTTAGACATTAAGGCTAGTGACATATATACTTTGACATTAAGGCTAGTGACATATATACTTTGACATTAAGGCTAGTGACATATATACTTTGACATTAAGGCTAGTGACATATATACTTTGGCATTAAGGCTAGTGACATATATACTTGGACATTAAGGCTAGTGACATATATACTTGGACATTAAGGCTAGTGACATATATACTTGGACATTAAGGCTAGTGCCATATATACTTGGACATTAAGGCTAGTGACATATATACTTGGACATTAAGGCTAGTGACATATATACTTTGGCTTTAAGGCTAGTGACATATATACTTTGACATTAAGGCTAGTGACATATATACTTGGACATTAAGGCTAGTGACATATATACTTTGACGTTAAGGCTAGTGACATATATTTACTTTGACGTTAAGGCTAGTGATATATATATACTTTGACATTAAAGCTAGTGCTATATATATACTTTGACATAAAGGCTAGTGACATATATACTTTGACGTTAAGGCTAGTGACATATATTTTCTTTGACGTTAAGGCTTGTGATATATATATATACTTTGAAATCAAGGCTGGTGACATACATACTTTAAAGTCAAAGCTAATGTCACTGTGACATGTATACTTTAAAATCAAGGCTAGTGACAAATATACTTTGAAATCAAGGCTAATGACATATACTTTAGCTATAATTAGAAGGGAAAAAACAGAGTTTATGTTATAGCGTTAATAAACCTGCATTGTTAAATGGTAATGATGAGGTATTTTTTTATTAGTATAAAAAATAAAGAAAAATAGTTTATTGAATTTGGCATTTGTGCTTATTATCTTTACATGACGGCGTCTATTCTATCTACATCAGATCTAGTCATGATGATATACATACTATATCTATATACATGTAAATATATCTACATTAATCTGCATTACATAATTGCATGTAGATGCTTATTCTGGATTTTGACAACTCTCTCAATATAGAACACGTCCATTGGAATTATGAAGAAAATGAGCACCATGTATACTTTAAATTAACACCACGCATTCTTAACATGAATATTAACCAAATATTGGCCTGGTTCGACGACATGTTTAATATATGTAACTTCAACAGAGCAAATAAGTGTTTTGCCGCCATTAATTCCCATAGGATTCAAGATATTTGTATACACCGACTGCAATAGTAGGTACATTTAACAAAATGTTTTCCGGTCTGTGCGTCCGTCTGTCCGATTCGTATCAGGTTAAGATATTGTTTTAAAGTAGTTAACCATGAAATTGTTGTCACATCAACTTGAAACGTAGTTTCATGTTTATCATGATGTTATATACATGTATATGCTTAAGAAGGGGGTTTACTGTGATTTATCTGTTTGTTGGTCAGGTTAAAATTTTGGTTTAAGGTAGTTTATCATGAATTTATAACCATATCAACTTATAACTAGTGTACGTGTTCACAATGACGTGCACTTTCTAAACAAAAGTACGGAAGATACAAAGGGGATTTTCAAAACTCATAAGTAACAGAAAAACTAACAGATCCATGGCAAAACAAATACAAAACGGAAAAACGACGAAAAGACACACAAATCCAAAACACTGCACTAAAAACTAAAGATTGAAGAAAATCAACACTCCGTATCCTTTAATGAACATCAAGCAAGTCTTGGCTTGTACCGACGACATGTCATATATATGAAAATTCAACAGATCAAATAAGTTTTTTCCCATTAAAATTATGTAAGGATTGCTCGTGGCCATCATTCCTCTTAAATCATATTTTTATACCCTGCCTACAATCGTGATTACATAATCTTTTTCTGTCTGTGCGTCAGTTCGTCCGATTCGTATAAGGTTAAAATATTGTTTTGGTTGTACCTGTAGAAAACATATTTCAAAGGGAATAGCACATCCTAATTTTACGTGCCCGGAAATTTAGATACGACCCGGTTAAACTTACCAATCCTTTAAATTAATTACAAATTCATCACTGTAATTATATCTTTGAATATTGTATTTATTGGTATTAATATTGATTTTTTTATCAGTAAATTAAAATCATACTATATATAATTGCTATACACATATGCACATTCACATTACTACCATTTGTCGATACCTATATTTTGGCATTGGACAAGGTCATGTTTTTCTCTGACTGTTGATGACGTCTTTACACTAAATCCATTGGATGTTGGACGTGTACTGATTGATAGTTTAGTCTTAGATACATGGATTTTTGATAAGTTGTTATTGGCTACGAGCTAGCTGTCAGTAACTGCGAGTACTCTTAGATCTTTTACTTTGTGTCTTTTTGTTGGTAGGGATGCATAAGCACTCAGTCATGTCCGGTCTGTGTTTTTGTTAGATGTTTTTCTGCTTTGTATCTTTCTGATGAGTTAAGCCTTTTCAACCAATTTTTATGGTTTGTTATAATGTTGTGCTGTAACACCACTGTCTGGAGTTAGGGGGGGGGGGGGGGGGGGTTGAACGCTCAAAAACATGTTTGACCCACCACATTATTTGTGTGCCTTTCCCAAGTCAGGAACCTGTAGTTCATTGATTGTCTTTGGTTCATGTCTGTCATAAATTGTTTTGTTATGAATTAGACCGTTAGTTTTTTTCAATTGAATTTTTTTCATAGTTTCCATGTCGAAGCCTTTAATAGCCGACTATACGGTATCGGTTTTTATCATTGTTGAAGGCCGTACATTTGACTACAATTGCTTACATCCACTTCATTTTAACTTTGGTGGATAGTTGTCTTGCTGGCCAGGTTAACAATTTGGCACCCATTACATTCAGGGAACTTCAACAGAGCCAATAAGTTTTTTTAAACTAAAATTATTTTAAAGTGGCTCAAGGTCATCATTTATTAAAACTAAGAGGTCAAACTTGTCTCTGGTTGCATTGTACTAAATAAGAGTTTCGATCAAGATTTCGATTAAGATTTCGTGTTTTAACGAAAACGGAAATGTGATAGTGTGAGTGGTGCATGCACAGGCACTTATTCTTTACTACTGAACCTTTATATTACACATTTCATTGTGTGATGAGGACTAACGGAAGGGTTGTTATACTTAGAAGTCCTGCCCGAATTGATTCAGACAGCGGAGGTATGCGTGTTATTGCGAAGATAAGTTAAATGTAGATTTACAGCATAAGTTTAATTAGTATAGACGACCGCGAAATGAAAAAACGACAATGTCGAAATGTCACTATACCAAGTGATATTTTACGAAAATGCAAGTTGAGTAGCTTGTGTTATATAAAGGTATATAAGTAACTAATTTCGTATGTTCGGCCAAATATACTTTGTATTGCTCCACAGACAACATTTTAGATTTGAATCAGCAACTATAAGTATATAGATAAACCAGAAATAGTTGTATATAAATCGTTTAGTTTTATGTGTCTTTTATGAAATATTTATCTGGCTGGTCATAATTTATAACTATGCAAACAAGAATAAACTATCATCAACATCAACTTTCAAACGAGCATCGTTTATGAGATGTATATCGCCTCATAGTTCTAGCACTAAATGTCTACCTTTGGGACGCCCGCCAAGCATATCATCTTGGAAACTCATCATGTTCTCAAGTGGCATACGCTGATAATGATTCCAATTACAAAAAAAATAAAAAAAATACTGTGTTAATAATGCAATTGGTAAATTATTTCACAATAAAGGTATTCACACTGTCATCTAAGTTAATCAATTCGGTCCACAGCAAAATTGTAAATAATATATGCTGTAGCCCAGAATTTCTTTATAAATACATACTTGAATGGTTAGTATTTATTACTCATATATTGGACACATGTTGAGATGGTATATACCTTTACGTTTATTGTAACGTTCGGATGCTGTCTCACTGATGTACACTAAAATCTCCTTCAATTCACATCAAGGGCGACTAAATAGAGTTAGGAACATTTTTTTTTAGAATAAACAAATAAGCACCCGATTTACTTAACTTCAAGGTTCATATCCGGGTGAGGATATGGGACAAAACTTTGCTGCTCAAAGTAGGTGAGCCAATTTCCCATGTATTTGTTTCACTCATATGGTCAAAACATAACGGTTTTCAAATGCTGTACTGGAAAAGAATATTAAAGAGCTTATATAGTATAATTCTCAATTCTTCAACATTTCTGCATATTTCCATAAATGCAAAATGTAATTAAGCACTGCATGTTGCTGTTGGAGGCCTATTGATAAAAATTGCTAATTTTGAATGTTTTTGTCAACTTTGCATCAAAGGACATGGCTAACAAAAATGAATTACCCTTAAGACCATACATATCTTTACTTTCAACAGAATTTGGGTGTTGGTTAACGCTGTCCTTTAGGAATATTTGGTCCTTTATGCTCTTCAGCTTCGAATTTTATTTGGCCTTTTAATTTTTTGGCTCGAGCGCCACTGACAAGTCTTTTGTAGACGAAACGCCCGCCTGTCGTACGAAATTATAAGCCTGGTATCTTTGATAAGTTTATCTTATATATTTTTAGGGATGAATACTAAACATTTGCCCAAATCTATCAAAATTGCGGTTTTCGGGCTCACTTCCGGCGTTTATAATTTATGTAGGCGATCTGGGACTACTAGTATAATAGTCCCAGAGGCGATCTATTTAGAAATGAGCCATAATATTGTTAAAACATTAAAGTACACATATACACACATTGGGCTTTGACACTGTGAATTCAAGTAAGGATTGAAAGATTTTACAAAATGGCCTTGGTGTAAAACAAATTCCGGGTAAATTGGCCATGCTTCTTTCCTGATCAAGTATTTTCGGGTTAAATTTTAATTTTAGACGAAGAATATTTTTAGGTGGTAATTCAGGTTATCAATGGAGAATATCCGGCGTACAGTTGTCACATCTTTAGACGAACAAGACTAAAAAAAACAAAAAATTTTGATATACGGTAGCTGCATGGTTAGTATTATCGTTCTCGCAAAAAAAAAAAAAAAAAAAAAAAAAAAAAAACAGATGACAGACAGGCTTTCCATATAGCCTAAACCACTCGACGAAATAGGCTATATGAAATAAGTATAGATTTTGTTAGTCAAGTAATGCCTCTCCTCGTCGGCTTTTATTAAAGGTTTTAACACAGTATATGATATCTTTTGGCAAGTACATAGCAAACCTTGAATATCAGCTGTATTTATCTGTTGTGAAGGGTGATACATTATATAAAACCACTATGCCGACTAAAACATTTATCAATAATAAAAAAAATATATTGAATTAACCATGTACTCTTTTTTTTTCTGCTATCAAAACCTTTGAGAAAAAAACGTTTAATTTGTCTTGACCCCAAACCGTATTTTTCCCGTCCAACCAAAAGCATGTTCTGTCGCCTTTGAAGTTTATGCCGATTTTTACAATAATCAAATATAATATATATTCTAATGATGTTTGAAGTATACAAAAGATAATAAGAAATGTATTCAGTTTTTCTAAGTGTTTCTCTTAATGTGATCCTATGGTTACCTTTATGTGAGGTTATTGATAAAAGAACAATAATTGATAATTATTTCTCAAGTGTTGATTGTACCATTATTTTGTATGTACGTGTAGGAGGTTATTACACCCCAATGGAACTCTAGCAATTCTAACGAGAAATAATCGTTGATGTTGAATAGACAGTACCTTATGAATGTACGATGATTAATTGCTGATAGCAATCATAATCCATGAAGCTTATGGAATGTGCATTTGAGGGTGCGGTTTCTAGTAAGCATACGATGAAAATTGTTTGTTAAGCAATTAAATTCCTGTCTATATTGCAGATTAATTGCTCAGGGTTACGTAACGTTGCTACATTAATAGCTAAATATTCAGCAGATTTGTTTTTTACATTTTATACAAGGTTACACTGAAACATTGCATTTAGTACACATGTACTTGAAATACTTTGGTATGAAGACTAGCATCAAAACCATTCGTCGGGAATATCTTATAGTCACATCTTCAGTGGTTTTTTTTGGCGAATTTGATGTTAATTCCAGACCTTAGTTAGTCTGTTAATTTTTAGTGCGGTTTAGAGCTTGGAACATTGTATCTGAGATTACATAACAATGTTTTACAGTTATCTCAGATTGTATAGACACCTATATTGTTCAACATCTTGTGTAGTTCTTGACCTCTAGATCTGTAGGTTATTTGTGCCATTGAATTGACGTATACCTCACGTATCAAACAATAATAACTTTACAGATATCTGTCCCTAACGTTTGTAAAAATCACAGATTATTACCTGATTTAATATATATCTGTTGAAGAAAAATAGTTTCGGTGTATACGTGTATATATCTGTACAACTCCTTTCTTTTAGGACAATAGTGTACCTTTCTTTTCAAAGTTATTCGGTTATTTCATCATGAGACCGTTGTCTTATGAACACTTCCCAAGTATAGATATATTCTCTTAAAATCAGGTAATTTACTCTGTACTAGCATGATCAAAACGAAGGGTGCCACATGTGAAGCAGGATCTACTTATCCTTCCGGGGCACCTGTGATCCCCCCGGTCTTTGATGGGGTTCTTGTTGCCCAGTTTTTAGTTTTCTTTGTTGTGTTTTGTGTACTGTATGTCTTATCGTCGTTTTTTGCCATGGTATTGTCAGTTTTGTTATCGACTTATGAGTTTGAATATCCCTTTGGTATCTTTTGCCTCAGTTTTCCGAATGACGAACCCTGAATTCAAATCTTTCAAAACTACCAAGAACAAAAAACTCAAATGATTTAAATTACCAAGACAAATACAATGGATCTAGGATCTAATACATAAAAATGAAATAACAAAATACCGAACTCCAAAGTAAATCCAAATAGGGGGAAGCCCCAAAATACCTGACAAAATCAAACGTTAGACTATATCAACAAACGGAATGAACGGAAAACAACTGTCATAATCCTGACTTGGTACACCTAATTGGGAACTGTTATTTCAATGGCAAATGCTAGAATTTTGGTTATCAAGATCATTCAGTACTCAGTGTGGCTAATAATATTATCTCTTACAGATAATAGAAAACAGACAAATATTAACTCTGTGCACAGAGGATTTTATTTTTATACATGTAAGAAGGTTACAGGTAACACTCCACTCAGATGTTCTTGGTCACCATAATTACTATCAGATATCACAACTTTCACATTTACCCTTATTGGTAAAAAGTATACCATGTGGTATACTACTAACCAAAACAAGTAAGTAAAAGTACAGTAACTATGGCACCAGCAGTAGTTCAAGTACTTGTCTACTGACAGCTTACTGACAGACATCACGCATTCTTCCAGATTAATATCCCCGGGGATAATTATTGCCATGAAATGACAGGTCATTTTATACAAATCATGTTCACATAATAAATAAATAAAATCACAAAAGAAGGGAATAGTTCATTTATATATTAAAAGCCTCCCACCCCAAGGCATTGTAAGTAAATCGAATATATATTGGAGAAGATTAATTTTGATGCCTTGATAGTAATGATCAGTTATTGCTGCACGTGCGTGTTGCAGACGATATGAGCTATATTTGGTGCAGGCATCGTATTACCGGAGCATCCCAAGCCAACAGAATATGTAGGAGGCTGATTACGATGTTATTGTAATCAACAGATGTTTTTTCTGCCTCCATGACAACACTGTAGCGCTTCCTGATAAATGAGGCCCGGTAGGGAGTGCTAACAGCAGTCAAATAAGAAAATGGAATGGTTTCTCTCTTTGGCTTGAAATATTCCTGATATGAGGTTTTAAAGACATTATCACGGATATATAAAATTCAATAGCTCTTCCTACATTTCTAAATAAATAAATAAATGCTACAATAAATAAACTGTCACTTTTTGGGATATACTACAATCACATGTCTCTGAATTTTACATATCCGGCAATGGAAAATGAGTTTGTTTATCACATGATTGTCCTTTAATCTTCGACATTGCTTCCCTTGATGATGGCTGTGAATTTGTTGTAATCAAATTTTCCACCTTCTACGGGTGCTTCTTTGAATGTCTGTCTCATCTGTAAACAAAATAAGATTGACATAAGTTGTGTGTACCCTACGGTGACAAAGTATAAACTATATCTATATAAAAATATAAATATTATTACAGAGGTAATATCTTAATAACATATTCGATTTTCTTTGGTGGTAAAAGCTGTATACTGTTAAAGACTTTTGCACCTGTTATCCTAAATACCAGTTGGCGGATTTATTTCAGAAGTCGTGTACCTTATTGCATTTTGTTCAGTAGTAATTGACTTCCGACACATACATTGTTGTTAACTTTACGTCCAGTGGCAACTAGTCCATGCAAACCACATAAAGACAGTTACAGATGATAATCATTATAAACAGGAAATATCCATAAAGGGGTATCATTAAATAAAGCAGTTTTTTTTCTTTTTTCTGAAAAGTGTACTTTTGTTTGGTCTATGACCGAAGTTCAAAAACATAAAAAACATAGTCTTGTTCAAAAGAGCAAGCAAATATCACATTTGCTTCACCATTTTTCGCCGTCTATGTGACATTCTTCGGTATCATATTTCGTTAGGTGTTTATTTTGAATCTCAGTTAAAATGTTAAAAGACTTTGACATTCAAATTAGAATTGTTAACGAGAAATAATTATAAAAATTTAAGGAGAACAATTTTCACTCAAATTAAAAGAGCTATGACAAAAAGGTAAATACACATTTGTCTCTTGTTACAAAGTCAACAGACGTTAACTAGAGAAAAACCCGCCAATGCTTACCTCGTCTGTGGTGAAGTTATCTCCCATATTTTGTAGCAAATCTTTAATGCTGAAAAGATCAGATAAATCTCAATTATTTTCTAATTACTGACAAAAAAATGACATTTACATTAACTTGTTTTCGTTTGAGTGAATGGTTATCTTTTATATGGAACTCACAGATATATTCAGTCCCTTAACTAATGGAGAATATAATATTAAATAGTTCAATAGTATATGAAGACAAATTTATATATATAAAAATATTGAAACAAATTGCAATTTTAAATTGCACAATATTTGACTACAAAATAGATGTAAAAACTTACTAAGCCTCTGGCAAATATCCCTTTCCTGCATCGTCGAACATTGAGAAGGCATTCTGGATTGTGTTTTCGGGGTCAGTACCTACAAATTGATAAAGTGATTAGTTGTTTTGAAGAAGTATACACAGATTACAAAATACGAATTGATATTTATAAAGACCTAGTTTATTTAGTATATTAAAGCAAATTATATTTTCAATGTTCGAAAACTACATATATTTTACCAGAATATTTTATAAATATTTAGTTTGAACATTTTCTGTTTGTTTAAAAAATAGCAAAAGAGATCATATATAAGAAAAGCATATATTTCAGATTTTTTTTTATCACTAATTGAAAATTGATTCTGTGTGTGTACATCATAAATATTTCATACGTATTCAGATCAAATACTAGTTAACTAATTAGATATATTTTTTTAAAGTGAGAGGATCGGATATTGAGTGTGGTAAGAAGTTTAATCTTTCCGTGGATCACCTACGGACCCCTCCCAAAGCGCGGAAATGGTTCCCACCATAAAGTTAGCGTGTCAATCACGCAAAAAGGGTCACCGGTTACAACTTCCCCATCCAGAAAGCACATGATCGTCATTTACATCAGTTGTATGTCGTACTTTACAACAGAATATTAAACGGTCCATTTATTTTATTTCATTCATATAGTTTTGAAAAAATATCCTGGACAATCGTAATCGGCAGTAAATATAGGAAATGAGACACGACACACGACATACCACTGTAAAAAGAATTTTAAATTTTTTTTTAAAATTTTATAAAAGTGGTTTTATGAAATACTCACCACTGAGTTTTTCACTGAACAATGACAAGAACATTGTGAAATTCAATGGTCCGGGAGCTTCCTTTAACATGTCCTTCATTACAGTTTCTTGAGGAACAGCCCCTGTAATTAAAATAATTTTCTGCATTAATAATAAGATTTAATGCACTAAAAACATTTATTGATACATGCAACACACATTCATAATTATAATGCAAACGCTAATAAAAAATGTACAGCTTTTTAATGATGATATGTACAATTTCTTATAGTACTCAGCGGCGGTCTTGTTCGTAGTTGAACCGACACCTAATTTAGGAAAGCCAACAAAACCGACGAATAAATGAAGAAAACACAACCATAATATATCGATATATCAACTGCATGTATTATAATGTTTAAGTCGGTGTACGAATGAGTTTGGGAAGTAAGAAGATAACAAGAGGAAATCCGAAATCGAAGAAAGACAGATAACGTCATAACACGAAGAAACAAGGAGAATGGTCAAAACAACAGTACTTAATAAGAAGCCGGATAAAATGAATTATTTTTCTAAAGTTTAAAAACTATGAAAATTTTTATTTTTTTCAACATTTTAAAATAATGTATAGACAGACCAAAGCTGAAAAGAATTAAAACAATTGATTTCAACAACTTACATTGCTGGTATTTGGACAAAAGATATAACTTTGTTATTTAATACGACCCTTTGCCATTTACGCAATGATAATATGTTGTTTCGCAATGGATAGTTGGAAAGTAAGACAAAACATTTGAGGAAAAACAAAAGTTTATAGTCTACAAGAGATGCGAAAGATACCAAAGGGACATTCAAACTCAGAAGTCGAAAATAAACTGTCAATGCCATGGCAAAAAAAGATAAGTACCAAAAGACAAACAACAGTATACAAAACACAACATAGAAAAACAAAGACTGAGAAACACGAACCCCTCCACAATCCGGGGGTGATCTCAGGTGCTCCGGAAGGGTAAGCAGATCCTGCCCCACAAATGGCACCCGTCGTGTTACTCATGTTAGAACAAATCTGTTAATAAGTCTAATTCAGTAGGTCACATTCGGAGAAAAGAGGACGGGGTTGTGGTTACGACAATTGGAACGTCATCTGTGAAACAGATCTTCCATAACGGTCAACCAACTCGTGATGGCGTCCATAAAATTTTCGAAGGGATGACTACAACTAACTAATCAGGGAGTTGAGTAACTAATGAGTACAGTTTACGACTTACCTAAAATGAGTATACAGTCTACGACAAACAATGAGAAAACAGTATACGGCTCACCTGACGATGAGTACAGTTTACGACTTTCCGCATAGTTAGTACACAGTCTACAACTATGCTTACGATGAGTACAGTATATGACTTACATTACAATGAAAAAACAATCTATGACTTACCTAACGATGAGTACATTTCCCTGAGATCGTTTAGATCAATGAAACCATCTCTGTTTTGGTCAATCATTGTGAATGCCTAAAGTCGAATAAGAAATACGTAGTTTTTAGAATAAACAAACAGGTGTTTTTAGTTTTATTCAAAGGAGACAGTCCTTTTAATAATGATTTTATAAACTTTGTTTGGATTTAGAAATTATTAAATTGTCCAAAATATCATTGTAGTTAAGCAATATACACTTATGAAAGATGAATGTATTCTTTAATAAATTGCTTTTAAAAAGATTGTAAAAAGATTAAAAACAGCTTGATTATCGGTTGATCAACACAAATCTAAAATCGTTAAAGATATACTAAAAAGTTTTAAGAATTAAATTAGGGTAATCTTACCGCCACTGCACTCAGCATGCCAAAACAAATTAAAAAAAAAAACATGCAGGAGTAAAATCGTGAAAGAAACATTTAGTCGCTATTATTTCTGTATGCTAGGTAATTTTTCATTGGTCAAATGAATTTCATGCAAATGATAAAATATATCATGATTAGTGGATGATTCGCGGATTTTTGCGACAATTAGTCGTTTTAAATAATATTAGCAAACTGAAAAAGTAAGTCTGCTCTGAACCAAACATTTTAAAATTTGTTGTTAATTTTCAGAAGCAATAGCGACTATTGTAAGATATAATAAAACAATGAATACTTGTAATTGAAAGAATAAACCTTTTAACATTAACAGAAAAAAAAGTAAATTAATGCCAAATGCCTAACTACTGTAACTATCTATTACTGCACACTTTCTGCCCAAACATCGGAAAGCTGATTTCAACTGGTTCATTTTTTAATTCCAATTCAATCAAACTCGTTTTTTTCAGTATGTTTTTCTAATACTCTATTTTGTCCTCGTACATCTGTTAAATGTTACAAAAAGGGTGTTTAATTAATGTTGGGTTTCTTTCACTCAAATCCACTTCAACTATTAGGGGTCAGCAAAGGGAGAATTTGTAAGATCGTTAGACGGAAACTGAAATAAAAACCATAACATGCCCTGGAAACGAGGTGAAAATCGTTAGTGTTTGGTAAAGTTTGTTTTGAACGCTGCGCACCCATGCCAAACTTTTTGTTTATTGAAAACATCAAGGGGTTTCGGCAGTGCGCATGCTCATAGGCATGCGTTCCACACCTCTTTCATTTCTTGAATTTGTTTCTGATTAAACTTGGTTAAAACGCTGGAGGTAGCTGCTCTAGCTTTCTGTTGGGCCTGAAAATAAAGAAACCATACATCTAATTAGCTAAGTCTAACGACTACAGTTGCTACATCGTGAAACTCATTACCTCCTTCATCTCTTGCATAAGTTTCTGCGGCAGTTTCGCAAAAACGTTGGACGTCGCTCTTTCTGCTCGAGTTTTCTTGTCCTGTTATTGAATAGAATATTGAGGTAGATATATATATCTATTACTTTATCTACTTTGAAAGGAATTCGAGCATTCAGTTGTATTTTATGTTGCTATTTCTCTAGCATGCGACTAAATAACTCATTCACGAAAACGTTTTACACTAGTTACTCTGGTCTGATTTACAGTCTTAAAAGTTTATTTAAGAAGAACGTCGTTGTAATACAAAGACCAATCTTTTATTTTCATTTTTATTTCATTCATTCTTGTTATCTATGCACTATTACTATTCCAATTGAGTAATAATACAGAGCATGCATTGAGTAATATAAACTTACTTCATCTCCTTCAGACATAGTTGTTCTGAAAAAGAAAAAAAAATCAATTCACTTATATTAAAAAAGGCCATAATGACATGTGAATATATAAGAACACGTGCACTTTATATCAAATGTAGTGGGATAAAGAAGTAGCCAACAGGGTGTTTTGTAAAATGGGAAAACGAAGTTTTAAATACGTTCAAAAACTTATAATCCGATTGCTATAAAACGACATTTTGGACCTTGGCATATTTAATTGAAACCTGTCTATGTGACAGTTGTTTTCCATTCGTTTGATGTGTTTGAGCTTTTGATTTTGCCAATTGTTAAGGGGCATTCCGTTTTGAAATTTCGGTATTTTTGTTGTTTTACTATTTGTTGAAGATTTTGTTGACCTTGTGAGCTAGCACTTTAACCCGCCATCAATAAACCAATCAGTAGATTCATGTTGTATAGGAAAACCTTCGGTAGAATTGACTTGACTATATGCGGTCATCTGTTAACTACTATACGATCGACATGAGCAAAATCAACACAATAAAACAACAGAAAAGTCATTTCGCGAAGAAACTGCATACTTCCATATTTTTACAGAAATTTCCAATACAAATGTGATTTTTCTACATATATGCAAGCTTACCTAAATTCAAACTATAAAGATTTTCCGTTTTGTGGCAAAATGCATTTACTTCTTTAAAATCACTTCGATAGTTCCGTTTACTTTATTTAATAAATTACTCAATATAATAGCAGGTGAATCTTAGATACATCCAATATATATAAAACTAAAGACTGTACACTTTGCCACGTGACTGGAGTCAAATACAAATTCACAAGCTATTTTCAAAACGTTAAGGGAGGGAGGGGGGGGGGGGGGGGTCGAACTGTGAGAAATGGTTATATAAACAGTTAATCGAATATTTTCGAGAAGAAACATAAACCGAAACGTGTTATCTAAAACGAATGAAAAGTGCAATGCAAGTAAGAACATGTTCTCAATATCAAGACTTTATAATGTAATACGTTCAGACTAATAATATAAGTAAGTTACTCTATAAAATGCTAACGTTTACCAGTCCTTGCTACAAATACGAAAAGTAATAAAAAATGGCAGAAAAAAAGCACTACATAGTAGTTCAGTGATATACCAAAAGTAAATCCCTTTCAATATAATGATACCGTCGTGACCAACAAATGGCATGTTGATATTCATTTCCCTTCAGAAATATTTAGTCTACGGAGCGGATTTATTTTTATTCAATAGTTTCGAAATTCCGATTTTAAAAATTATTTTTAAAGCACGATGAGAGAAGTGTCTTAATATGATATATTAGTATCAAACGTATGACTATTGTATTTAAATCTTACTTACTTTGACTATTGTATTTAAGACTATTATCGAAGCTTGTATGAATCAATTAATACAAACTATCTAATATCTTTAAAGTAGCAAATAATGTTTAAGACTTACTTTTTGGAATGTGTGTAGTGTCCGTCAGAAACTATCAGAGTTCAATGAGTGATCGATGCATACACAACTGAGATTATATATAGCATAACATGAACCACATGTGTAATGAGGTTCTATTAGGGGTAGTATACTGTTACCACATGTGTGAAGAGGCTCTTGCGGATATCGCAGTCAACACATGTGGTTCCTGTTATCGGATCAATATCATGCCAAAAGCGGTAAAATATTGATTACATGTCACACCGGGGCTCCCTTACGAGCTCGGTGCTGTTAGGGCATCTGATTTTTTTGACGATCGATTAATTATGTCATATACCTAATCAAATATGCAATTTTGCAACAACAAAATTAAATGAAATAAATTAAATTAAAAATCTGTTTAAATTTGAATTTTATAAAAGAAAAAGAAAAAGATTTTTATATTAACATGTGAAATATTTTTACTTATCAATTTTGTGTAAATCTTGATATTTGCTGAGAGTAGTAATTGAAATTTTGTAATTTAAATATGTGTTTTGTCCTAATTTAGATTTTTATAATGTGTTGGTGATAGGTCACACCTCTGTCGTTTTTTTTTCAGTTATAAGGGCCCATTATCAATTCTAATAATACAGATAGGATAGAAATTATCTATTTATTATCAAATAAAATTCTTTTTCAAAATAGTTAATTTTCTACTCACATTCATATGGAGAAGTAAGGGTCTATAAGCTATGTGATATATATTAAATTGATTCTAATTTAACCTCTGTAACTTTGAATTTATAATGTTTATAAATACAAACATTTTATTGGTACATACAGCTCAAAAGTAAATACCGGCAAAGTGACAGATCTAAATATTTAAATACTTTTTTTTTTCAAACTGGTCAAATGAATCAACAAAATTCAAAACAACAAATTAGTTGGCCAGGGAAGTGATGGAAATGGAAAACCCTGCAAATGACTTATGTTTATAAGGAATTTCAGTTTGTTGAAAATGGAACATTTTTATGGGCCTTGATTTTCATTTTTGATCACACTTATCATACATGTACTTGTTTTTCATGATAAGAGACAACAAACTTAGACGGTACATAAAAGAAGGCATCTATTTATATGCCACAGGAATTTTTGATCTGCTATAACACGGTATTCTGTTATTAATGGCAAACTTCACACATACTACGTAGTTACTATGGTAACTGATACACTGCCAAATTTTCTTCTAATCATGCCGATTGAAGTTGGAGTAGATGTGTATGTTATAGATAAAACAGCAACCGTAGCGATTTTAGTGCTAATTCCAGATTACATGTGTACACAAAAATTGTAGCCAACTTTGAAAATCTGTATCCAAGCCTTTTGAAAATGTATACTTCGTTGACATTTAAATTCGTGGTATACATATACACACGTAAATTGGTATACCACGAATAATGATGAATCCACAGTGTTTGTTTTTCGTAAATTGTTTTGTTATATATAAATTAGGTCGTTAGTTTTCTAGTTTGAATTGTTTCACATTTTTCATGTCGGGGCCTTTTATAGCCGACTATACAGTATGGGGGTTTCTCATTGTTGAAGACCGTACGGTGTCCTATAATTTCTTATATTCACTTCATTTGAAACCTGGTGGATAGTTGTCTAATTGGCAATCATACCACATCTCTTGATTTTTATATTAAACTGAATTGTCAGCACTAACTGTGAACGGGATATTATAATATTAAATCTAACATTACAAATACAGATCGAATAAAGTCATAAGTATTTCGTTGAAATCTGAAATGCATTATCAAAACTTTGAATATGTTGTATGATAAAGCCAAGACATACAAGTAATCTGTATCATGTGTTGCGAAAACTGTAAGGTCCGAATCTAATTACCATGTATCTATTTTGTCATAGACTATCATCTCGGGGTGCAGTCACAGTAGGTCCTCATTAGTCTCAGTCATTAGTACATCATGATTGTAAATATTTTATGCTGATTTGAGTCAATTATAAATCTCCAGATAATATCAAATATCATCCTCATATATTATAAATAATCCTAATGCTAATATATCTGTTCATTTTGCCTCTTGCTTCACATAGAAACAGAACTAATTTATTAGCGTATCGAAAAAAAGACTGTTAGTAAAAAAACGATAGAAAATTAATAAAATTCGAAGCCAATATAAATTCAAAGATACTTACGATTTTGTGTTTTAAAACCTTTTCAAATATCAAAGAAATACGGGTCAAGTGACCTTCTACAAACGCTCCTCACACAACCGGGCTTCTACAAGGGCGCTACGAAAGTGAAAAGCACCTAGCTTTAGAACAATCTTGCATACCTATCGATATGACGTCACATGCAGTACACCAAAGATGGCCGAACACTACGCGCACACTTTTCTTTGATTGACGGATCAGATTTCTAATTGCAACCCTCACTTGTGTATTGATAAAGATGTTCTTTCTTCTCTTCTTAAATATTGGAAACTAATTAAAGAAAACAACCGGCAACAATATAGGACAAGTTATTCGCAGAATACTCGTTAAAATGCAACTTTTCAAGTTAAAAAAAAACTGACAGATACTTTTTTTGTTTCTGTTTTGTTTAATGTATATTTAACAGGTGTGTAAGAATTAAACAAAGCTGATTTATTTTATTCAAAACCAATAAACTCAGTTATACTAATATTATACTGAAAATAACCAGAAGTGGTTCTTCCTCCTAGAATGCTTAGATAATTTTCTTTGGGAGATTAAGTCAAAAAGATAAATTACTGTGTTTAAACGTCTTGATACAAAATTTCTAAATAAAAATAATAAACTCATCACATCTCAAAATATATTTTTATTTATAACCTCAGAGTTTATAACATTAAAACATAGGTTTCATCTATCGAAGCAAAATCATCATTGTGTCTGGTTCTGTTTTTACACAATGCCCTACACACTGTTTCTGATCACACGCTTCCATCCATATTTGGCAGCACCGGTTTCTGACAGTCTTTATTATGATAACATGTAATATGTAGTTATCTCAAAGCCAGTCGTGTACGTGTTATGTGTACGCTAAGGATTTACAAGGCATATGCAATTAATCACAAAATCAGAAGATAGCTCTAGTAATTAATTTTCTATGTCAATGGCCTACTATCGCTGTCTTAATGTGAGATTTACGGAAGATTTTCATTCAACAAGTTTGCGATTAAATGAAGAATGCGAATAAAAGTGGAGATGCAATTTTTTTCTTGTAGTCAGTCAAAACAATACACACAATGATTAGGATTAGTTTCTCCCGTATTTACCTGAATTATAAGCACGCCTAGATTATATCCAAATGAAGATTTTTAGACAAGACAAGCATTGTTCGAATATCAGCAAAAAGAAGCGGAAAATACCAAGGTGACATTCAAAACTCAAAAAAGACAAAATGAGAACTGCCATGGCAACAAAAGAAAGACGAAGAAAAGACACACACGTCCATAAAACACGACATAATGTAAAAAAAAAAAAAACAAAAAAAACAACAAAAAAACTAGAGAACAATCAAAGAAATAAAATTAACTGTCAAAATCAGAATCAAATTATTTCGTGTTTATTTTCTAATATGATATAGCATAACTTCTCACGTATTTATAGAATAATTTCAGTATAAGACCGATGACAAATAAATTCTATGTCAATAAATTATATGAAATAAAAATCCAAAAGCAACAAAAAGTATACGATAACAACCCATTTTTTTTGCCCAAAAATTACAAACAATGTCAAATTCATCCTTCCCATTTTAAATTATGCTAATTTTAAGGATAAAGTAATACGTTTATACAGTCTGGCCATTTTAGTCAGCAGATAATTCCGAAAATGGTGTTATTTTTGGCAGTTTTTCTTATAACGTAAGACGTTTGTAAATGATTGATTATTCGATTGTACAGTTGTTTGATAAACGTCCAATGTCAATTATCGCATGCATATTCAGCACGAGAAATTTTGAACAATTAATACAATAGGTAGGTTCTACCATGGAAGTATTATATTCATATTTTACTTCCATGGTCAATATAATACTTCCATGGTTCTACGAACTGGAACGACAGGGATGAGGAACGGGACATTTAGACTCCCACGTGTAAACGATATTATGCTGGATAGGGCAGACGTTAAACATTTCAACAGGCCACCTACGGACAACTCAAGGAATTTTTGTAAGGGTTATTTAACGTGCAGATAGCGTGGAACTAACTACACGAGGCATCTAATTGAATATCCCCAATTTGACCGGATGTGGCTTCGAATTTATACATCCTGCACACCCAAACGGACTCCCAACTTTGGCAAGGGTTTAAGTGCCGGTTGAGAGAAGTCCAAGGTGACCATATTTCTATACCCCAGTCATCCTAGGGGTCAGTTTGTAAATAAAGACCAAATCATATATGCAGTACGGGTTATGTTTTCTTCATATATTTTATGATGGTATGATACTAAACCCCTGAAGGGATGGATTGTGCTTGATTTTCATAGGATGAAGACATAATCTTTCAATCAGTTTAATTGAGATCTGGAACTGGCATGTCAGTAACTGCTAGTAGTCCTTTGTTAATTTATGATAATCATTGTCATTTTGCTCAGTTTCTTCTGTTACCCATTCTAACATCGGACTCGGACTTCTTTTTAACTGAGTTTTACTGTGCGTATCGCTTTGTGTTTGTTTATTCCATACTGTCTATAGGTATGATAGGGGAGGGTTGAGATCTTACAAAACATGTTTAACCCGGCCTGCCGCATTTCTGTGTTTAAGACCCATTGGTGGCCTTCGGTTGTTTTCTGCTCTTTGGTCGGGTTGTTGTCTTTTTGACACATTCTCCGTTTTCATTCTCAATTTTATTAGTTATCTTCAAATATAGTATCACTAATATCATGCAGATTAATGTCTTGTGAACATCTGAATGTTATTTTCAGGCTGACAAGATACTTGTACAATACAATACTTTGTTATGCTATAATACAATAGGTTAACAAGTATGTCTTATCATGCCGCTGCCTTTGCGACACAATAACGAAAGCTAAATGTAAACCCAATCTTTCTCCGTTTTCTGTATACGGGTTTGATGACTTATTTCTCTGTTCTTTTTATTTGAATTTTATAATAAAAATGTATCCCGTCTATATTCGCCTTGCTCGTCATCGGAAAACAGAGACGGTATTCAATATGGCTTACAATTTGGGTCCACGTCCAGTGGACACTATTACAAATTCAGGACGAGAAATGTGAAGGGTTTCAAAAGACGAGTTACTGAGCAAGAATTTTATAACTGTTTCTTAATTCATAGAGATTGCTGTTAGTACATATTAAAAAAGAAACCCTAAATAATTTAAGAGTATTTTGATATAAAAATAAATAACTGATAGTTTGGGAGATATATATCTTATGACCAATAGTATGCACATATATGTAAAGTAATTTGAAAAGGACTTTTGTTAACGTACTCTTTAGTCAAGTATTAATTACCACCTTTGAAAAGGACTTTTGTTAAACGTACTCTTCAATCAAGTATTAATATTCCCACCTACAAGCATTTTCACATCAAATGCTTCGTTGTTATGTACATTTGTACTTGTATTATTCACTCGTATTTACTGTTTACAAGTAGTTGAAGTGGGTTGTTAAGAGCAAATTTGCCAAACAAAAAAGAAAATGACTATCCCCTTCACGTGCAATTATGTCAGAATGGGTGCTTCTACTTATGTATAAAGTATGGATATCTGAAACAAAAAAAAAACAAAAAAAAAAAACAAAAAACAAAAAAAAACAAAAAACAATTAAGAAAAAAGTGGTGTCATTCACTAATATTGTCACCATTTTTCATTCGTCGTCGCGAGTACATTCAAAATGTTCACCTCGGAAACTAGTGAGTGGGTTATGCTGAACAATTTTTTTCAGCATTAATGCCTGGAAAAGTTGTTTCCATGAGACAGTAGAAGTACTATACATGTACAGTATCGTGATTAATATAATGAGACGAACAACATGCTGATTAAATTAATCCTGCTATAACTAAACAGAGATTAATTGCATTACATCATACTGGGATACATTTATCTGTTCCCCATTATATAATGACACAGTTTGAATAACGTGACTTTTTCTCTGATTGTACGTTTTTTTTTTCGTAATTCCGTTTATAATGATTAATGTTACGGTTAAACAACCCTTTTTCCATTTTTTGAGCTATTTTTATTCAAACGGATTTCATTTAACACTTTTCTTTTCTTTTCTTTGCAACGATATTGACAAAATTGAGAATTCAACTAAAGGAATATTTGCGCTTTGCAGTTAATTATTATGCATGTATATAGTGTGTGCGTGGTTTTGATGGATATTAATTTTGTTCATGATAATTAAATCATGTTCAGGTCGTGAAAATATGTTTTGATTTACTCTGTTTAATTATTAAGTTTATATTTGTTTTTATGAAATGCTTAAACTAAAATTTATAGGCTTAAAACACATGAAAATTATACTAAATAATTATTCGTTCGATTTATTAAAAAGCAAACAACCTTAATAACAGTATTTTGCAGGCTTTAATAACTTTCCGAGATCATCTGAAAATTAAATATCCGGCAAATAGAAGTGCAAATAAATAGATTGCACGAAAATCAAATATTAATTGTCGAAATAAATACAATAATTTGACTTTGAATTACTAATACCATTTCTTGAAACTCTGTCTTACGATATCTATTTTGTCGAAATCCGGATATGGTGTACTAATTTTTGCACCTTTTGTTTGCAGTATACCATCTTTTCCGCAAGTTTATTGTTTTCTGTTTGATATTAGATTAATATTTAAGATCCATTTTGTTACATCTGGTGATCATTTTATTTGGCAATCGTCAATGGCAGTCAACAGGGTTTAAGAACATCCGTTGTTCGACCTGCTAGTCAAATGCGTTTTGTTGAAATATACTTTGTCACTTTTTTGGTCTTTTGGAAAATGTTGTTTGAGCTGTATTTAGACCCCTTTACCAAGAAATTTGTTTTGCATTCACACGTATAAAAATTGCGGTTTTTATCCAAAGCAATCATAGGTTTGAACGTTGTTTTCAATTTAGACTTGTTTATATTTTAGAAGTTATATATATTATTGCAATAGTTACAATTAGTAGGTGTATCTATATAATTATGTAGTTTTATAAATATATGTTAGACGTTATACCGAAATCATCTTCTGAGTAAGCAAATACATTAGGGCAGTAAACTTAAGCTGGTGGGGGGGGGGGGGGAGTCTTTTTGGTTGATATGGATATGTAAATACGAAGTCATGCTGGGTCTGAATGGGGGTGCTTAATCTGATGTCCC